CCTAAAAGCTACACGCTGGAAGAGTACAAGGCTATGCGTCAGTCTGCCAAACCGGCGGTTATCATAAACAACAAGAATCTCCGCAAGGCCAATGACGGCAAAGATGTGTTTGCAAACATGGTGGCTCACAGGAAAGTACAGGAGGTTCATGAAGATGGTGATGAGGTCGAAGAGAAGGAGAACGAGCCTGAGGCACAACAGCCGATAGATATTGACTTCTCGTTCACAGACGAGTTTGGAGGTCGTAGAAGAGGCGGTCGAGGATTTGAGAATAGAGGGTTTGATCGCGGACGTGGTGACGCACGAGGTGCAAGGCCGAGAGGCGAGCGTGGAGGTCGGGGAAGAGGTCAGCTAAGAGGCGAAGGACGAGGCCGTGGGTTCGGTCGCGTTTTGCCCAATGAGGATCACATTCCGCCTCTAGCCATATACAGTGACCAGGAGTTCCCTTCCTTGAAATAAATTTCCAAAACACAAGTGAAACAGAAAGAGAGACCAACATACACACACACACACACATATAAATATATATATATGTGGATACATATCAGTCACACAAAATCGAAAACTTACTGTTTAAATGCAAAAAAAACTGGCTGAAGAAGTTAGCAGGCAGCGAAGACAGGACTCCAGGTGAAAATAGAGATGAAGTCACCATCAACGAGAGAGAGATTTGACACAGGTTAATTCCTTTACACTTATCTCACCAGGAAGCATGGTTTCAACCACAGGCCAACGGAACAGATGAAGGCGTTGAAAGCCAGGCAGAATGGAAAAAAAAACAAGATACACCTTCATCAATTTTAAATCAGTTTGGAAATCTTCTGCTCTGAGTCATCCAGCATAAGGAATAAGATTTGGATTTTCATCACCAACGTTTCTAATATGGGTCAGAAAATTGGCGAGTGTGTCACAAAAAGGCATTTCCAATGGGCTGCATGTTTTCACCAACAACCAACCGCCTTCATTCCAATATTGAACACCAAATAGCCAAAAGGTGTCAGCAACAAAATCCCTACAAAAAAACCAATACTTGAAAATTCATCTGATGCTCACTAGTGACTGGCCCTATTCAGGCAGTTAACCTGGGGTTCTAGTGGGAAGCCGTGACCAGTAGGGTACAGCAGGTCGAAGATGAGGCAGTAACTCATCGAAGAAGACATTGCGAAGTGGTCGCGCTATATCGTGAACTGGCAGAAGTTAGAATTCAAGGACCATTGGAACGGGTCCCAGTGGCTCAATGGTCTACGAGCTCGCCTTGTAACCAGAAGGTCCTGGGTTCGAATCCCGGTGGGTGCGTACTGGTGAGGAGTCCCAAACTAGGACGAAACAGCTGTCCAGTACTCCCAGCTGGTTTTCCAGTGGTTCTCTAACTGATGTCAGTTCATGATTAAATCCTCCATGCAATCAAACAAAATCCCTACAAAAACCAATACTTGAAAAAAAAACTCCACAGTGGAACAAACCAGCCAAGAACTTATTTCTCAATAAATGTGATGATGGATTGTGGACACACGCTGAGGAGGCCGTCGAATGAAATGGTGCACCGGGTCATCTGCAAAAAGTGGAACCTAAATGCGAAACAATGAGTGGAGCATCGGAGGGTGACATGTAGAGATGGTCGTGCGAAGAGGAGACGAGGAACAACGCACAGTCGTGGGGTCAGTTGAAGAGGACCTCAGGGAATAAGACAAAATGGAGATGTGCCGTTGAAGCCTTTTATATTCCTCTTGGAACCAGGGGGAACAATAAGTGATAATAACAATAAATTTTATATATCAGGGTATTTGGTGAGCATAATCACTGTGCACACTACACAACTTGTTGATATTCTTTGCCAGAATAACTCAGCCAATCGCTTATTAGTTTCAAGGTGCTGTTCTTTCTCCCTTTCTGTTCTCGTTTTTCTTACATGACTTGCATCATTCTGATGTAGCCACTTTTGTTAAGTATGTCGATGACCTCTCTGTTTCTATGCCTGTCAACTCTCAGTCAGATTGTTCCAAATTAAATAAATTTCTGTCGGAAATTAGTCAGTGGTCCTCTTCAAACGGACTTAAGCTTAATCCGTCTAAATGTCAGGTAGTCAATTTCACTTTCAGACGTAAATGTGACCTACAGCAACTAGTTAGCTCACATGGCCTCACTATCATTGACGGCACAGAGGTTGAAAATACATCTAATGTGAAGTTCCTTGGGCTGAGTTTTTCCACCGATCTTTCCTGGTCTTCCCACATCTTTCTAGTTACTAGAAAGATGTTTCGCTTAACGTTCTACATTAGGAAATTTAGTCGGTCTGGCATAAAGCAGTCTTTGCTTTCTCAGTTTGTAAATTCTTGTATTCCACCCATCCCCTTTACTGCTCCCTATTAATCTTTCCTGGACTACTTAAGAAAGACTTTGCTTTGCTGAGAAGGGCACTAAAAGCCGTCAGTAGGGCAAGTGGGATATCGTTAAACCAACTGGTTAACACTATTGTGGATAGACATATAATGTCATGTAAGAAACTAGCGAATACAATATTGTTAGACCCCGAGCATCCTCTCTATACACAGCTGTCTCCTCGAATTTCATCTGGTAGAACTAGAAGCAGCTATAGGAGGCTATATGCTAGGACTACTAAGTACCAATTACTCCACAATACCATGTCTGGTACAGCTGTTATGTGATGAGAAATCTGTTAGATGTGACACGATCAACTTACTTTGTCACTCTAACAAATAGTCCCATTAGTTTTGTTTCCTTTCCTCGTTACTGTTACACTGTTGTTATCATCTTCTATTACACACCAATTTTATATTTCATTTCCTGTGGTGCATTGTTTGAAAATGTAAACGCAACACTGCTCTTTTTGTATTTTTTGGGTGTTGCTTTTTGATTTTAAAATCTTGTAAAATTTATGAGGTAATTAAATGCAATATATTGTAATGCACGCTGAAAATTCCATACCTGTACCACAAATACCGTTTGGAATAAAGCTGTTATTATTATTATTATTATTCATTTTGCCATACATACGTGGAAGTGTGGCTAATTGAATTTTTTGTATTATGATTACTGAAACATAAACTTCGTACATTGTGGGCACCAGAAGATGCGCCACACAAAATCGCATAGTTTGTGCGTGCGCTGGGATACTTTCCGAACACCTAGATCGAAGAAAGTGATTGTCTTAATGGGCCACGCCCCCTCCCTGAGTCTCTGATTTGAAATCTGATCTAAAAGATAGTGCAACATCTACAGGGGAGGTAAGTTCCCGTGGTTGACAATGACTAAAAGAGGTTTAATCGCTATTCGATCCTTTTGGATTTTGGAGTCTCTATGTACATCATATGTTTTTTGAATTGAGGTTTTCCAGCTGTCTTAGGTGTAGACTAGCATGCCCTTTAGTCCGGTTATAAGGGCCAAACGTTCGTGTTAGCTGTTTCACTTTTGTGAGGAATATCTGCCGCCTAATAGTAGGCTGCCTTAAGCACTCAACGCCCCGGTCTCCAATTCTGCTCCACCTCCTTTAGCCTCGGTGACTTAGTAGTAGTATCAAAGTAAGTATGACTCCAGGTAACTGAGTTTAAAACCAACTGATTATTATTGTTCCCTTCGGTTCCTTGTGGAACATAGGGCTTCAACTGCACGTCTCCACTTGCCACTTCTGTCTTCCTTCTGCTGTACTTTTCGCTTGCATCCATCCATGTTAGTCCATACTGTTTCAACTCCTCTTCACACGATCTCCTCCATGTCACCCTTGCACTGACGACCAACTCGCCGCTTCCCTTTCGGCCTGGTTCCACTCGAGCAATGGCCTGACACGCGCGCGATGTCACCCAGTGGCGGCCTCCTCAGCGAGTGTCCAATCCATCTCCACTTTCTCCTGCACATTTCTTGGTTGGCGATCGGCTCTTAATTTGTTTGTTTGTTCCCATCGTTTCTTGTTAGTGGTGATTGTTTCCGGCCCGGCCATCTGATCTTCAGTATAGACCCAGTGAAGACAGTTGTTGGTTGATAAAGGTCTGCAATAGCCTGTTGGTTGCAAATATTCCTTGTCACCCCCACCCCCCGATCAAGTTTCTGATCCGTATAGAAGAGCTGACTGACTTGACGTTTGTCTAGAAAATCCGAATTTCGCTGTTGATGCTGGCTGAGTGACGAAGATTTCCAGATTGGTTTCAGTCAGGATGATGAATGTGTTTCTCGCCTTCCCGATTCTCGCTCGTTTTGACATCTTTGTCCGTTCCTGCCGTAGTTGAGACAATGCTCCCTACAATGAAGTGAATGAAGCAACCTCTTTCAAATCCCTCCCGTTGATGGTGATTGGCGCTGGATGTTGTTGTTGTTGTTGGTTGGTTATTTTCATCACTTCCGTCTTGTCTATGTTCACCTGGAGTCCTGTCTTCGCCGGCTGCTTTTTCGACCAGTTTGTCGGTCGGTTTTCGCTTGTAAGTCTTCGATTTTGTGACAGTGACATCAAACAAATCATCCACACGCGAAATCCAGGTCTTCTAGGTTCTTCACGTCGGTCGGTCCAGGATATCCCTGTCTTCTCGTTTCCCACTCACTGTCTGACGCATAATCCAGTCAGTCCGCCACAATTAGGAATATCATTGATGATAATAGGCACCCTTTTCTGACTCCTGTGTTTACTCGAAACGCCTCGCTGAGTTTTCCGTTGTGGATCGTTTAACATGTTCCGTTGTCGTACAGCTGTTGAACAAGGTTGATGAATATTTGGGGCACTGTATGCCGTAGTACTCGAGTAGTTTCCAAATTACTTCGCGGTCAACGCTGTCAGTCGAAGGCCTTTTCAAAGTCTGTAAAGTTGAGGTAGAGGTTTCATTGCCATTCCATGCTTTGTTCTGTGATGATGATGCGTAGAGTTGCAATTCGGTCAGTACATGATTTGCCTTTCCTGAATCCAGCTTGTTCTGGTCGGAGTTCTGTATCCAGTGCGTGCATATATAATAATTATTATTATATTTTCTAATATTATTGCTATTTTATACTTTCAGATGACATCAGACAGTTATACTATGTTAATCAATTAGTCCCGCCATTAAGTCCTAAAATTGGGAATTTAGGCTCAGAGATAATTTCAATGTCACAAATCCCTGGACGTGTTTCAATACATGCGACGCATAAATGTGAATCTAATACTGATGATATTAGCAATGAGTATAATAATACCAGTAAATGTGAAAATGTCATTACTTGGGTCAAGGATGTAAAGAAGGTAAGTAGTGGTTTATATATTTTACCTTTTAGGTGTAATTAGCATTTCTGTTTGAGCGATTGATCGATACTGAAGGACTGAACTGCTCCGAATTCTAGATAAAAGTATAGGAAGGGAATTCCAGTGCTTCTTGTTCACTTCACTTGGGAGTGATCTCTGACGAAGTCTCAGCATGGATACTAAGGGCTCATGTGTCATTTGCTAACCTATGTCATTTGTGGTGTAGATGTGATATTTGGCTTCCCAGCAAGGGATGCGTGAACTGTGCAGCCGTTCGCTCTGCTCTTTATAGTTGTGAGAGGCGGCTATCGAAAGTGGAAGATATGACTTAAAAAAGGATAGCAACTGTGTGTAAGAAGGATAAGTCACTCAATGAGGCTGTGAAATTAAATCGATTGACATGGTTTGATTACTTGTCGAGCTATCCCTTTCCTCGACGGGTGATGTTAGTTGACAAAGGATAAGTTTGGAAAAGAGTTAGGGTTGATCGAATCAAAACCTGGTGTCAATCTATGACAGTGGGGACTGACTGACCGACTGGTTTCAACGCAGAACGTAGCACACAAAGCAAAAGAAGAAACCATAAAACGATGTAAAATAGAGGTATGAAGCAAAAAGAATATTAATATAGAAGAAGAAGAATAATAGAATTTTGTTGGATATTATAGGTCACAAGGAGTGAATGCATCTGCACCAACCATTGACAGCAAGGATTTTGAGTCTTATCACCAATTGTCTCCAACCTTCATTGCTTCTTACCATCCCGAGGATCCCAACTAGTCAACCAGCCAACCTCCTTATATGGCTGGCTGACTGGCTTAAACTAACTGTTGTGGATTTCTTCGTTGACTGATGAAGCCATGTTTTGGTTTGACCACCACTAACTCTCTCTTTTCCACCCTAATGAATCCTATTTCAGTCAACTGACAACGCCTGTTTTCTAAGAAGGCGATGGCTGGGCCAGGCATGCGTAACCTATGTCCTAAACATCTCAATCGGTATAATTTCATAACCTCGTCGATTAATTTTCAGTCAACGCCTATCCTCAATATTGTTAACCCTATTAAGCAACTTAATATGGGAGATAGAACTCAGATACCTATGATCAGAGACAGTTAGCTAAGTGTTTCATGTCTTCCACTTTCGATGGCCATGTCTCATAGCCAGACAGTCATAAAGGAGGACAGAGGGGACTGATGCTGAGCAGTACACAGCACATGTCGTTTGGTCGGCAGTCAGCCAGATATCACGTCTACTAATTCAGAAGTGGTGTAAGTTGGTAGGGAAATACCAGACGAGCCTTCTGTGTTTCCGTGCTGAGATTTCGTCAGCGAACAACCCACTGGAATTGTCTGATGGAACTCCATGGCTTCACTGCTTATCTTTAAGCTGGGAGTCAATGTGGTGCAATCCTGTAGCATCATCCTACATTCAACGCTAGCGAATCGTCATGTAGTTTAAGTGTGAAGTGTCTGGTTGCAGTCCTGGAAACGTTAAGAATAATTAGCTCAAAATCAGTCTCTGGTGCACCGAAATATTGATTCACGCGTTTCACTCTCCCAGTTCCATGTAGTTTTGATTATTCTGTATGAAATTATTCCATGTTCCTTATATTTCTATATACTGTGGTTTCATTGGATTTCTTCCAACCGAAGGAAAATCAATAGGGAAAACTTCATGCAATTCTTCCTATTAATAAAAGTCGTCTCTCTTCTCAATCATTCAAGTCACTGAATCGCCTGGTGACCATACGGTGCAGGATATCCAAAGAGTTGACTCGTCTGAGGTTCTTTGACTGGTACAATTGTTGTTCCTGCTTTGTTCTATAGAGAAAACTTAGTAAAAATTGTCAAATTTATTTTGGATAGGATCCCTACGATGAAGTTGCCTATAAAGGGTTAAAGTAGAAATGCTTTTTAACGAACTTCAGATAAAAGTGTAGGTCATTGGTTGTTTACTTGATTCTAAACAACGGGATAGTTCCAGAGAACTTCAGAGATATTGTAGATTTCTTTTAAGAATTGCGAAATGATACCCTATCAGTTAAACGTTTGAATTAAACAAACCAGATAGTTGAATTATGACTAAAATCCAGAACAGATATGAGTGGATAATGAACTTCACATCGTGGAGTATCTTCGGGTACATGTACAGTGTGTCATAAAGATAACAGGAAACAGCTGTCTCAGAAGTGCTCTTTGATCAGAAATAAAAGCACGTGAATGTTGAGATCAAGGTGATGAAATTATTAAGTTAACAAAATGCCGAAATATAAACTTATACTATTTATTACTGTTAAGTAGGTAGATAAGTAAACACAAAGAAAACGGGTAGTAGATCTTTAAAGGTTGTATTATTATTATTTAAACACAAAAAACTTGGTACAATATGGCATCAAGAAGATGCGCCGCCATACATTAATAATAAAACAACATAGATTAAAGGTAAACATATATATAGAGAACGGATAAAGAACTTCACCCGGATGGAAAACAGTCATATTCAGCAATTTTAAACAGCACTCGTCAGTTATCGTCGGAAAAGTAGAAAAGAACGAAATTGCAGCACGTTCACCGCTGATTGCGATTCTCGGCCATATCTGATAACGTTTCGGGCCAATGATTCGAGCTGTCTATCAAAACTGCGACCAGGTAGTCGTGATGCACCAACCTATGCTAACCTACCACAAATATCATCCATACCACGACGCTATGTCATGGACTGACCATCTCTCCGCCTTTTCCATTCCGTCGCAGGGCTAGTGAACAAAGACCTGTACGGAGGCTTCTAGGATGACATTCGTATCACATGTCCAAGCCACTGAAGCCGCTGTTTCCAGATGATGACACTCAGTAAATAGTTATCTCCACTGTGTCCAAACACACGCCACCGGACGATACTATCGGACGCAAGTAATTCTACGAAGACAGCGATGATTGAGTACACCAGCCTTTGCGAGCGTAGAGTAGGACATCACGCATTGAAGCGTTGTAAACCCGACGTCTGACAGCCAGGTTAACATCGCATCGGCGCCAGAGTTGGCTCAAGTTAACGTATGCCACTCTAGCTTTCACGATACGTTAGGAAGTCTCGTCCATTACATCTGCGCCAGCACTCACACAACTACCGAGCTGCAGGAACCTATCGACAACTTCAAGCGGTTTTCTAGCAAGAGTGAGTGCAGGTACAGGCTCCTGCCACTTTTGTAACAGTACTTTACACTTAGATGCCGTAAAGCACATGCCTTACTTACAGACACTGATCGCCAACTGAATAAGTGCGATTTAGTCAACCTGCAAGCTATCGCATAGTGAGAGGATATCGTCTGCATACTCTAGGTCAAAAAGTCTCTCTCCAGGGAGCAAATCTACACCGCTACCACGCATGTCTTTCAGAGCTGGCTCCACAATCTAATCGATGGCAAAGTTGAATAGAAGTTAAGAGATTGGGCAACCCTGTTTAATCCCATCATTTTTAGAGGTTAGATAAGGGAGGTAATTTATTCTCCCTCTGTTTTATTTCAGTTTTCAATATCCAGGAGAGGTGTTACATCATTTGGATTGCACGTGTTCTGTATTGATTTGGTGATGAACCACTCACTCTCTCTCTCTCTCTCTCCCAACCGAACCATTGTATCTCCCACCCTGTCGTGTGATTACATTTGAGTGAATGTATTACAACGGTGGGGCGTTTTTGTCAGATTTGCTAGTTCAAACTAAATTTCTATGTTCCAATAATCTGATTGACACCAATCTACTAGTTTCCTCTGTTTAATTAACCTCACTCTAATTTCATCATGATATTTAGTAAAGCATATTATGTTTGCTAATATTGAATCCTTAGGGTCGTTAAGCGGGAAATATTTATCTGTGAGTCACTTTTGAGGGTTTAAATGGTATCATAACTAATTTTAGTCTTTATTTAGAATTCGATGTAGGGTCTCTGATATTCCTTGTTTACATGGAAATTCTATCGAGGCTTTGATTCCTTCATTATTTACATTACTATTCGAAATTTTTCTAAAAGGTCTCCATACACCTTTTTGAATGAAATCTAGTGGACAGTTTTCCACGAGTAATGAATGTTTAAATTGGGCTTATAATGTTAACTTTAAAGTAATAGAATTTGAGCACACTTACCGCATCATTTCTGGTTGTCTACTAGGCAGGCACCTGTATTCCCATATCATAATATGCAGTCCGTCTCAAATCTTTGTCAATATATCTGTCTTGTCACTGTCATCTTTTCTAATTCATTCCGTTGCATTTTAGGAAGATGAACAGATATCATCAGATGGATGTAATAATAAATCTCCTGATGAACCTAAACAGTGCACAAATGAATATTCTGTATTATCGGATAATTTATTGTCTGAAAATAATAAAGTAAGTCTTCTAGTGTTATTATTATTGTTTCCTTTAGTTCCTAGAGGAGCATATAAGGCTTCCACCGCATGTCTCCATTGCCATCAATTCTCTGCCAACGTTTTCATCACCTGGCTCCACGTCTGACCATATGCTTTCATCATCTCCTGTTCACATGACCTCCTCCATGTCACTTCACTCTCGCAATCACGACCAACTCACCGCTTCCCATTCAGGTTCCACTCGAGCGATGGCCTGGCTGGCGTATGATGTCACTTACTTGATGGTTTGTTTTCTCAGAGTATGACCAATCTAATCTACCTCCATTTATTCCTGCGTATTTATACTGTACAAGTGATTCCTGCTGGATTGGTTGGTTTGTTCATTGCCAGAGATTCCTCCCTGTTATTGATCTTTTCTGACAGGCCATTTGATCTTGACCGAAGTATTGAGCGAAGACAGCTGTTCATGAGAGTCTGTATTCTGTTCGAAGTGCTGTCTTCATGACGCGTTTACCAAGTCTCTGTTCCGAATAATAAGTAGCACTGACTTCACATTGGAGTTGAACTGTGCGTGATTCATGAAAAGGTATTTCCAACAGGTCACAACAGACTTTTATGAACAGCTGCCCCCCACCCCCTTCGCTAGCTGGCTCCATACTGAAGATCAAATAGCCAACCGGTCGACTAGAAAGAATTAGCAACAGAAAACTCTGGCTGACTGGGAACAAATCAACAGGCGAGAGCTGATTGCTCAACAAAGCCGTATGTAGGAGAAGATGGAGATGGATAGAAAGAGCATACGTTGAGGAGGCTGTCGAATGACATCGCGCTGAAGGCCGATCATCTTGTTCCAGTGGAATCCGAATGAGAAGCGACAAGTTGGTCGTCAGTGCGATGGTTACATGGAGGAGATCGTGTGGTGGTGGTAGTGGTGGTGGTGGTGGAGAGGAGATGAGATGAGAAATTATGGGCAATTGTGGACTTAGGTGTAGGGAAGGCAGAAAATAAAAGAAAGTGAGGATGTTATTTAATTTCATTTTTTTTTTATTTTCCCGTCGACTGATTAGACAGAAGTGCTCGGTCTCAGGTTGACATGTCTGTCGGCTTCTTGTGCAAATGCTTCGACGATGTCTGGGCATTTAGTTAGTATTTAATTGGTGGATGGTGACTATCAGTGGAATCCAGTCAGGATGCGCATTTCGTCGTATTTGGGACTCGTCATCCATCTGGATGTACTCGCGCATTTCTCAGTGAGTGATGAAGTGCCCCACCACCGAGGCTCGAACCCAGTGCCCATAGTTTCAAACACCAGCCAAAGCGTTATCCACTAGACCACTTGGGCCACGAGAGCCACCTCTTGTGCAACGGGTCTGTCTGTCTGTCTGTCTGGATTCAACATAGAACTTGGCACCGAAGTGCACCAGTTCCAGTTGCCACGTTCCAAATAGCCCACAGAGGTAGACAAGAAGATGAGTGAAGAGAATCAATAGAGTTTGACAAATATAAGAGTGAAACAGAATGGGTAATTGTAGTAAGGAATATGAAAGATTACAGAGACTGAATACATCTGCGCTGGCCATTGACAACGATTTTGAGCCATGTCACCTAATGTCTCCAGCCATTGATTCCTAGAGTCCCGAGGGCCCCAACCCGGGAGTCTGAATCTCCCTACCTGACTCAGTTTAACTGTCAAGGATTTCATGGATTGATGAGGCCATGTTTTTGTTTGGCCACCACTGGCTCTTTTCCAACCTGAACCTATATCAGCTAGCAATGCCCGTCGGGGGAGGCGGTGGTTAGGCATGCGCAGCACGTGACCTAGCCATCTTAGTCTATGTAACTTTATAGCCTCGTCGATTGATTTTCCCTCTTTGCCCAACACTCTACGCCTAACGTCAACATTACTTATCTTGTGAAACCACCTAACATGAGACAGAGATCGCAGACATCTATGATCGAAAGCAGTCAACCTTTTCATGTCTTCAACGCGTATTGGCCATGTTTCAGAGCCATAGAGAAGGACGGAGCGAACTGATGAGCAGTACACACGTCCCTTGGTTGATAACCGGATGTCACACCTACGCCAGAGATGGTGTAAGTCAGCGAAAACAGCTCGAGCTTTTCGGATCCGTGCTGAGATTTCATCGCCAATCAGTCCGTTGGTGCTAATACAACTTCCCAAGTAGATGAAGTGGTCAATATGTTCTATCACTTCACTCCCTATCACTAAGTTAGGGAATGACGGGGTCCAGTCCTGTAGCAGCATCTTACATTTTGCAGGGGCGAATCGCATGCCAAACATACGAAGATTGCTGCTCAAGGTGTTCAGAAGACTCTGCATTTTGTCAGCAACGGGTGATATTAATTATTTCATTGTCAACCTGAGACTGAGCACTTCAGTGCAATCAATCGACGGGAAAATAAAAAAAATTCAATTAAATAATTGATATGGCTTGTTGCACAAGAGGTGGCTCTCGTCGCCCAAGTGGTCTAGTGGATAACGCTTTGGCTGGTGTTTGAAACTATGGACACTGGGTTCGAGCCACGGTAGGAACATGATCACTCAGTGACTGGGCAATACAGGTAAATCCAGCTGACGAGTCCCAAATAGGACGAAATGCGCGTCCTGGACTCCACTGCTAGTCACCATCCATCAATGAAAATGGGGATGTGTTGTTGAAGGCCTATTGTGGCGAATGCTACTGATAAGACTTATGAGTAGTATATGAAGAGACTTTCATCGCATCATAACAACATCATCTAATAGCAAGGAGATACATTTGATTTCAGAGAAGGCAATTGGTACAGCGTTGTGGAGATACATGGGAGACGCGAGCGAAAGAAACACATTATGATGAAGGAAGGCTAGAAGTAGCACAACCCGGAAGATCTGTGCAAATGGTGCCTTGAAGATAAGATATACAGAGATACCCATTCGCAAATAAACATTCCTTTATCCAGTCTCTTGTCTCCTGTCGTTTCACAATGTTCCCCTAGGAACACAAGGGAATATAAGTTTGTTGCATCCGTATACTTGAATCCAAACGACTCTTATACTTATGTATTGATGAGTACTGTTGTGATGTGAAAAGGCCTCAAATGATGAGAAGCCATCTAATTAACTGTGAAGTGTGTATTTTCTGCCACCTGGTAATTTATAAGATTCCAGATACTTACATCCCCTTCGAATTTAAGATTATGAGAGATTGATCCCTCCGCAACTGTATGAAATGTTCAAATAAACTGTTGTCAAGATTTGACAGAATAGTTCTAAAATATTTGGACGCCGAGTGAGAAGTAGACATTTGTAAAAAATTTCCTTTTATATATAAACCTCTGTTGTTATGTTAATTTCAATTAATTTCCCTGAAGAATTTTCGGACCAGACTGTCGAATTCAGCAAACGTTGGAATTACTCATTTCAATCTCGCTGAGATTTTAACAAATTTAAAATTTTTTTTACAAATGTCTATACTTCTCACTCGGTGCCCAAATATTTCAAAACTATTCTGCCAAATCTTGACGACAGTTCATATGAATTATTTTGCAATCGAATTAAATTAACAAAGAAACTATGTATTTGGCACAATCACATCGTGTTTCTACTCTCCATTGTCTGCAACAGAATGCACATCCTAAATCCGTAGCTGTCCAGTTACCTGACAACTCCAGTAGGTCAAATAAATCAGCTCAATGTGGTCTGAAAGAAGACAAAGTAATAAGTTTGATAGGGTGCTTCAACTAAACTCTAATCCTAAACACCATAATTTTGAAAATACGTCTAATCATCATAAAATTCTAGATACTAACAGTTTCAACCGACATAAAGGTATGATGTTAGCTGACGCATAGGAAATCCTGATTAATAAAAAAGAATGGATATGTATCACTAACTAATAATACTTGGTCGAAATTCCCGACTGTCTATATCTACTTATGGAGACGTTAAGACATTATTTTACACCTGTTTACCCACACACACATACACACTGTGTTTAAAGTGTTTAACAAAGGTAGACCAATATTTGTAAGTCCGAGGTCAAATTTTGATCACAACTCGTACAATTTTGTTTATTATACTTGTTAATACTTGTTTCATGACTTATGATTGGACAAAGTTTTTAAAAACAAGAGATGTCCTCGTTTAATATATAAACCTCTGTTAGGTTAATTTCCCTGAAGAAGTTCGGACCAGATTGCCGAACTCAGGAACGTTAGAATTACTCATTTCAATATCGGTGAGATTTTACAAATATAAATTTTTTTTACAAATGTATGAAATATTGCTTTTTTTATATTTGGTATTCTCTTGTGTTTATCGATAAACCTTTTGAGAGTACCCATTATCTTTCCGTATCGTTTGTCTTGTGATTTAGAAAGATGAACGAATATCATCAAGTGGATGCAATAATATCTCCCTTGAAAGTAGGAAACCCTGGACAATAGAACATTCTGTCATATTACGTAATTTATCGTCTGTAAACAATAAAGTAAGTTGTTATTTATATTAATATTATTATTATTGTTCCCTTGGGTTCCTAGTGGAACATAGGACTTCAACTGCACGTCTCCACTTGCCACTTCTGTCTTCCTTCTGCTGTACTTTTCGCTTGCATCCATCCATGTTAGTCCATACTGTTTCAACTCACCTCTTCACACGATCTCCATGTCACCTTTGCATTGACGTCCCACTCTCCGCTTCTTTTCCGGCCTGGTTACACTCGATCAATGGCCTGACGCGCGCATGATGTCACCCAGTGACGGCCTCCTCAGCGAGTGTCCAATCCGTCTCCACTTTCTCCTGCACATTTCTTGATTGGAGATTGGCTCTTGTTTTGTTTGTTTGTTCCCATAGTTTCTTGTTGTTGGTGATTGTTTCCTGCCCGGCCATCTGATCTTCAGTATAGACCCAGTGAAGACAGTTGTTGGTTGATAAAGGTCTGCAATAGCCTGTTGGTTGCAAATATTCTTTGTGACCCGCCCGCCAAGTTTCCGATCCGTATAGAGGAGCTGACTGACTTGACGTTTGTATTGAAAATCCCACTGAATTCTGTTGTTGATGCTGGCTGAGTGACGAAGATTTCCAGATCGGTTTCAGTCAGGATGATGAATGTGTTTCTCGCCTTCCCGATTCTCGCTCGATTTGACATCCTCGTCCGCTCCTCCTGTAGTTGAGACAATGCTCCCTACAATGAAGTGAATGAAGTAACCTCTTTCAAATCCCTCCCGTTGATGGTGATTGGCGCTGGATGTTGTTGTTGATTGGTTATTTTCACTTCCGTCTTGTCTATGTTCACCTGCAGTCCTGTTTTCACCGACTGCTTCTTCGACCAGTTTGTCGGTCGGTTTTCGCTTGTAAGTCTTCGATTTTGTGACAGTGACATCAAACATAAATGATCCACGCGCGAAATCCAAGTCTTCTAGGTTCTTCACGTCGGTCGGTCCAGGATATCCCTGTCTTATCGTTTCCCACTGTCTGACGCATAATCTAGTCCACCACAATTAGGAATATCATTGATTATAATAAGCACCCTTTTCTGACTCCTGTGTTAACTCGAAACGCCTCGCTGAGTTTTCCGTTGTGGATCGTTTAACATGTTCCGTTGTCGTACAGCTGTTGAACAAGGTTGATGAATATTTGGGGCACTTTATGCCGTAGTACTCGAGTAGTTTCCAAATTACTTCGCGGTCAACGCTGTCTGTCGAAGGCCTTCTCGAAGTCTATAAAGTTGATGTAGAGGTTTGATTGCCATTCCATGCTTTATTTGCCAGTACACATCTCTATTTTATCCTATTCGCCACAGTCCTATGTAGCGAACTTGATGACTGACCATCAACTCTCATATGTTCCCTACACAACCTCCTACATATCATTCACATGCCAACGTCCAATTCCTCCTTTAACATTCGGCTTCAACTCGAAGGCCTGCTTGCCTATCTGCTGCGGAGTGTAATGTCAATCAACAATCTCCTCGGTTTGCTTGTCTCATCCATCTCATGGGATCTTGATGAAAGAAAGGAGGAAGATAAATGCAGGATAATACGAGATCGTTTTATTTCCTGAATTCTCTTCAAACTACCGTCTACAACATCCTAAACAAAATGAATTATAGGCTACAAAATTTCGTCACCATACTTTTCTTCACAATGACTTCTTCGAATTATAGATAGAATGTATTGTATAGCCAGAATAATTCTCAAGATGATGTAAGCAGATGAAAATTATTCAGTGTTAAAGAAAAGAGGGCGTGTCAAAAGTAAACAGAGACGATAGACAGTCTCCCAACAGAGAAAGAAGCATAATGAAATGAATTACGCCAGACAATATCGAATGTTTACACAATAAGTGGTCAAGCCTAGCATCACGGGGACAATATTAGAAGATGACTGTCAAAATGGGGAGACAAATAGAAACGATCTATATAAAGAGCGAGAGAATGAGGAAGACGCAAAGATATCAGGAGGTGTAGGACTTGGAAAAAATGGACAATGTGTATGGCCAATAAGAATGTATGTGTAGTATTGTAACGACTGAAGACAAGGACCAAGCAACAGGTCCTTCATTGAGAAAATCAACAGATATTGATAGATTTTTATGTACATTATTATTAGCGTTATTGTTAGCAGAGAAGCAGCAACGTCTTCGGATTGGTTGTTTTCTTGCTGCAGAGTATTCTGTACTCCTTGTGACCGTTTTTTTAGGAAGTTATGCCATGTATCTGCGAATCGTATTCTCACACGTTAAAGCTGTTGTGACTGGTTGATGAGTTCCTCAAAGTCATTGTTTTTTCTCATGACCCTGATTCGGGGCGTAAACATTGACGTAAATTATTGTCTACGATTTTGGCTTGCAGACAGCTCTTACCACAGTATTATTATCACTATTATTCCCTTGGGTTCCGAGTGTGGGACATAGAGATTTATTAACAGTGAATATCTCCATTTCATCCCGCTTTCTGCAGTCCTTTTTGGTGGGCTCCTTGATGGCGCCAACCTCAGACGTCTAACTCGCTGTTTTTCCCATTTGGGTTCCACTCGACGACCGCGTTGGCGTGTGATGTCACCCAATGGTTTCTTAAGCGTGTTTTCTCTTCTTCTTTTTCTGAAGTAACCATGAGTACTTAATATTTAACAGCAATAGTTTTCAAACTTCAGTTGATGATGATAACGTCTATTATAGAGTTGTCACATTTTGATGATTTTCACTGTCACGGTCTTTAGACACATCAACGTGTTGTCCAGTATTAGACACTTATGTTAATAATAATAATAATTTGCTTTATTCCAAAACAGTACTTGTGATACAGAATGGCATCCAGTTAATACATTAACAATAAATAAAATTCTATATATATGTGTGAAACTTGGGCACTGTGGTATTAAGTAATTCCATATTAGTTTGATTATTAAATGAATCACACAGTGAAACAGTATTGTATACTGGATGACACAGTTTCGAACATAATTTATTGTTCATAATCATATCAATTTTTGTCACACGACTTCGAGATTTGATTTTTATAGTTTTCTCTGTCTTCTCCTATTTGTTGTATGGGCAGTAGAATTTTCCATATATCTCAGTGGACAGGTGTTGAATCATTCCTATTACATGTATTTGCAGTTGATTCGATAAACAAAGCTTCTGTTATCAATCTCTCCCTATACCCTGTGACATTAGATTTTAAAACTGTCATCCTATCCCATCCCATCGTATTGTATGGTTGTGTGTAACTGCATGTGGTGAGTGCTATACCTGAACTACTCTCTAGATTTCTTATCATATTCGGGTCAACTAATCTAGATTTAGCTAGGTTTTTATGTTCGGCTAGTCTGACTGCCCCTGTTCTACTAGTTTGACCTATGTATTTGACCTCACAATCATTCTAACAGGGTATTAGATAAACTAAATTGTTTTGTTTCAATGACTCTACAGGATCCTTTAACCGACAAAGCTTGTTTCTAATTGAGTTTGTGGGTTTGAATGCCACTTTTATTCCTGCCTTGTTCAGAATTCTGCGTAAGGCTTCCGAGGTTCCTTCTTTGTATGGAATTATTGTTGATGATTTATATCTAATACCCTGTTAGAATGATTGTGAGGTCAAATACATAGGTCAAACTAGTAGAACAGGGCAGTCAGACTAGCCGAACATAAAAACCTAGCTAAATCTAGATTGGTTGACCCAAATATGATAAGAAATCTAGAGAGTAGTTCAGATATAGCACTCACCACATGCAGTTACACACAACCATACAATACGATGGGATGGGATAGGATGACAGTTTTAAAATCTAATGTCACAGGGTATAGGGAGAGATTGATAACAGAAGCTTTGTTTATCGAATCAACTGCAAATACATGTAATAGGAATGATTCAACACCTGTCCCAGATATATGGAAAATTCTACTGCCCATACAACAAATAGGAGAAGACAGAGAAAACTATAAAAATCAAATCTCGAAGTCGTGTGACAAAAATTGATATGATTATGAACAATAAATTATGTTCGAAACTGTGTCATCCAGTATACAATACTGTTTCACTGTGTGATACATTTAATAATCAAACTAATATGGAAAAATTCTATATAGATTAAGGGTAATCTCAGTTAGTTTTGACAACAACATATTAGCATGTCGGTAGCAAAGTCAAAATTGAAAAGAGTGTTCGAAGGTGTTACAGAAGTAGATACTAGCATATTTACTGGCGTAAGTGGTAACAAAAGGTCGAGATATACAGAGTGTGAAAGAACGAAGAAGAATGTGTTTAGGTAGAGTTTGTAAGGAAGAGAGAAACAAAACAGCACATAGGCATAGCAGAGCATATAAGTTTCTGGTCCTGCTTGATGAGATACCAGGGGAGAGTTGTGAATGAAGAGGGTGTTGTGAGTTAGATAGAATGGATTTTGTCCATTTTTCGCATCAGTCCAAGTGCTTGTCAACGAGAATATTAACAAGCTGGTTAAGTGGCTCATTGCTTACACTGCTGACAACCTTTAACATCCTGCGTAATAAGGTATAGTCTTTCTTCAATAGCCGAGGAGAAACTAAGGGGGAACAATAGAGAATAATAGGCAAAATGCGAGAGTTAACGAATTGTAGGAGTAAGGGTTGGGTTATACTAGAATGTCTTAACTTCTTGATGTAGAAGGTAAGACGGAATATTTTCTTGGAGAAATAATCAAGATATGAGATGACCTGGAAAGATCAGTAGATAGAATATCGCCTAGGTATTTAATTTCTGACTTGGTTTCTATTTCAATGCCATCTATGTTGCACACCTTGTGAGTGCTAACCAGTTTATTTTTTACCTATTGATATGTTCAGTATTAGCGATTCTTACATGGCATCAGTCCATGAAATCCCTAAGAGTTAGTTTAAACTAGTCACATGGGAAGGTGTAGAATGCCTGGTTGAGTTCCTCGGGATGGTAAGAACCAATGAAGCCTGGTGACAATTAGTGATATGACTCAAAATCCTCGTTATCAATGACTGGTGCAAATATATTCACTCTGTGTGATCTGGCATATCCCAGAAACCTTATTGTCTTCCTATGGTGTTATCCATTCTGCTTCACATATTTGCCTACAATTTTTTTTTATTTTTCTCGAATCTCTTTTTTCTCCTTCTTTCTGTGCTTCATGAAGTGGGGCAACTCGAACTGCTACACTTTTGTGCAAGGCTCTGTACTGAAACCACTCAGTCAGTCAGCAATTCTTATTTCCTTACTTGTGGTTTTTGCTGATTATAGCTTCCGTGGAATCCTGGACGCATATTTCTTCTTATTTGAGATTCCTAAGTTGGATATGCTTCCATCAGCACCAGTAGGCGATGGCCATCTTACTGACAGTTGGGGCCCAGCATGCATAGTTCTAAACTCTATAGCTTTGTCCATGACGTTACGAGAAAGAAATGTAACAGGCATCAGTTGTTTAGGCTATATCGTATTTATTATTAATTAATTTTGACGAGAACGGGAGTTTTACGCCTCTCGTGAAATGTCGTCTGTGGTGATGAACACCACTCAATATGAAAATGAAAATAAGATTCGAATTTTCAACTACAATGTAAAGTAAGTGATACTTTATGGATCACAGACTTGGCGCGTCATGAAGAGCACCTCAAACAAACTACACACTTTCGTCAACAGCTGTCTTCGCTCAATACTACTCAAGAACAGATGGCCGGCCAGAAAAGATCAGCAACAGGGAGGGATCTCTGGCAATGAACGAACCAACACAGAAGGAAGAAATGCAGGTGGATTGGACATACTCTGAGAAAACAAACCATTAAGTTAGTGATATCACACGCCAGGCCATCGCTCGAGTGGAACCCTCATGGGAAGCGGCGAGGTGGTCGTCAGCGCGTGAGTGGGTGACACTGAGGAGGTCATGTGAAGGGATGATGAAAGCATGTCGGTAGATGTAGAGCCAGGTGAGAATGTTGACAGAGAACCGAACTCAATGGAGACGCGTGGCTGAAGCCTTATGTTCGTATAGGAACTAAAGGAGACAATAATGATAATATATCACCTTTCAATTCTTGATGGGCCTCTAGAGACACTGGCTAATGTGATATTGAATGACCATTTGTGCTGATTATGTATGAATTAAATGCAGTACCTCCTTCTGTATAACTGACTCCATTGAAGCAATTGCAACTGTTGACAACTGTCTATGAGTATTCGATACTCCCGTGTGCTTGAATTCACATGACTTTTGTAATCTATGAATAGTGAACGGCACTGCTGTGAAGAGTCCTATGAAGAGCAAGAACAATCCGATTGTCTCCGAAGTATAGTTTCTTATATTAGGGATAACATTTGATTCCTCTTCTTATTTTACCGAACGCCTTTTATGATTATCACCAGTGAATCAGATATCTATGCACTTGCTTTTATATTAGCTGACGTTATTTAACGCGTGGAAACACCGTTGAAATTGGTCTCTGTAAATATGTCACTACAATTTTTGAACTACCCATAATTTGTAAGTAGTATAAATAAAAAAGGATGAAAATGTTAATTCATTACCTGAAGTTAGTGTTGTTATACTTTAGGCTATCCTGGTCACCAAGTTGCTTTTGGTTGGGTTAGTAGTTCCCCCTCCCCCCTCCACACACATATTTCCTTGAACCTCTCTGCTAGTGCACTTATGCTTACGCAGTACCATTGTTATCATCATTTCATCTTCATGGTTATTATTATTATTTGTCACGCTTAAACTTATACCTAACGCATCGCATTTGTCTCCTTACTTTTCTGTAGTTTTCATATATTGTATATCTCACAACAGTGACTCCCCGACTGTTATTATTCTGTCGTGTACTTGTACTACGCCTATTACACTTTCTTATACACAAATCTTATATGTCTTTACTGTCGCAATTTGGTTCCAAAATGATATTTATTATTATCATTCCCTTGGGTTCCAAGTCGGACATTGGGCTTCGACAACACATCTCCACTTTGTTCCATTTCTTGCAGTCCTCTTCATCTGTCTAGCTCCATCATCTCCCTTGATGTCTCATCTCCTCTTCTCCACACGATCTCCTCCATGTCTCCCCCGCACTGACGACATGTTCGTCGGGTCCTATTTGAGTTACACTTGGATAGTGGCGTGTCGCGCGTTGTCATTCAACGGCCTCCTCAACGTATGCCTTTCTATCCATCTCCATTTACTCCTACATACTTGTTGAGCAATCGGCTGTTGATTTGTTCGTCACCAGCCAGAGTTTCTTGTTGTTAATTCTTTCTGGCCGGCCGGCTGGCTGCCCATTTGATCTTGAGTATGAAGCCAACCAGTGAAGCGGGACAGTTGTTGAAAAAAGTCTTCTGTAGGCTATTGCAAAATCTTTTTTCGTAACACACATTAGTGTTAAAGAGAATCCGAATTTTGTTTTCCCTACGCTGGCTGAGTGAGTGCAGAAGATTTGCAAATTGGCTTCAGGTTGGTTGATGAAGGCGTATCTTGCCTTTCCGATTCTAGCTGGCTGGCTGGCTGGCCTTCACGTCTTCATCCATTAAGCCTGTGGTTGAAACGGTGCTGCAATAGCTAGATAAGTTAAGAAGGTAACTTCTGTTAAATCTTTCACTTTGATGGTGATTGGTGCTGTTTGTTGTTGCTGTCGTTGTTGGTTGGTTGGTTGGTTGGTTATCTTCAGCATCTCCGTCTTCTCTGTGTTAACCTGAAGTCCTGCCTTCACTGACTGCCAGCTTCTTCAACCGCTTTGTTCCTTTTCGCTTGTAAGCCTTCGAGTTTATGTGATTGACTAAAATTACGGGATCCATAATTGTAGAGTATGAGGAAGGTGAAGAATTTATTCAGATTACTATTTATTCATTCACTGTAATTCTTTTTCTAATACACCGATCTGTTTAATGATTGGGGGAGGGGGGGGCTTGTTTTTTCTGTATCTTGAATGCATAACTTTGACATCTTGTGATGTCAACCCAATTGGAGTTGTTTTTTTTATCAAATAGATATTGACTCTTTTTCCCCTGGACTCAGCCATCTTGAATTTAATCCGTCGTTGGTGATGGTTGGTGGTATGTCTATCTCTAACTGTTAATAGGTATTGTCATCGACTCGTTGACTTCTAATATTAGAGATGGACATATATAAGCAAACAATATTGTTGTTTTCAGTTAGATCTTCAAACTCTACTCCACTTTACATAGATTTATATGTGAAACAAAGTTTAACCAATGATGGTGATTTTGTGGATCAAATAATAATAATAATGTGGTAAACTGTTTTTTGAACGTCAATAATAACGATGATTATAATGATAACAAAAATAATGATAATAAGATTTATGCAAGTGATGATAAGAAAAACAAAGGTAGTAATCTGTGTATATGTAGACAATTCAATAAATAAGTAAATTAGGTCAAGTCTTAAAAGTTATGTAATACTAAAGGTAGGTGAAGTGGACAGATAATCAGAGTTTAGGTAAATATCATAATAGTACGAAGGAAATGGAAAATAAGAAAGGTTGGGAGATTTTGTCGTAATTAGAATCTACCTAGGCAAGCAAGGAAGAGACAGTGGTAGAACAAACTTCTTTTGTTGTATGCAAAGACACTAGGATTGTTCTCTCGAATTAATTCCCATATCTTCGGCTATGTGTTTAGCAGACGGGTTTGAGTTCCATTCAAAAGGCTCGATGGAATGCGATAGATAACTTTGAAGGCACTACTTTTGTCTAATTGGTGACCTCCATCATTTTATTTGACCTTTTCCGAACCATAAAGGAAAATGCTCATTAATGCGTTTGTTATGCTGTCTAATTGTTCACCCTTTATAGCTCTCTCCACAGGAGCAACTAAATTTATAGATGCACATAGAAGTGGCACACCTAGGTAGCTTGTCTTTCGCTTGAGCAATCAAAGGGTGGTGGCGGCAGTATAAGTCTGTTTTATTGGTCTCGATAATCTCAGATGTAAGACTTCGCTAGCCATGTCCCCATTAAATTGCAGTTTCATGAACAGTTGTGTTTTTTTAACTATTGTCAGTTTCTCTTTATTGTACCTGGTGTTCATGTGTCTCCTTACAAATCTACTAGGATAACCCATTGGAACCAGTATATTTTGGATGTATCCTAGCTCATTTTCTAGGGAGTCATCTGTACAGATCTGTCTTGGTCTATTCGTGATATTATATCAGCGCATTGATACAAAACTGAGGAAATGTGTATATTGTCCTTCAGATTTAGGTTTTCTATAGACACATCTCTCTTGAGTGAACCATCCCCTCTTCTGATCAATTGGACATCAAGGAAGTATAGTTTACCATCATGTTGCTTTTCACAAGTGAAGATGACCGATACTCAAAATATTTACCACATTATTATTATTATTATTTGATCTACAAAACTCACCGTCATTGGTCAAATTTTCTGATATATAAATCTATGTAAATTAGAGTAAAGCCTGAAGAAGATCTAATTGAAAACAACAATATTGTTCGCTTATTATATATCTTTTTCTAATAATAATAATAGGAATATTCAAAGATTTGATACATATCATAGACAGGTTAGGACTGCGATAGTAGTGAAGGAACGTGACACAGTAGTATAAATGGTTGGATTTTAGTGGGTTATTTCTCCCTCTTAGAGATAACTTTGAAGCAGTAACTTGTAGAGAGAGAGAGAGATAAGGTCGCCAGTATTGAATGGATCTTCAGTTATTGCTCTTCTTAAGGGCCTACTTCCACCTTTTCATAACCACACAACAGAGTATTCCTCCAATCTTTTGGAATAAAATCCATATTGAATGGTCGATAAGCCTAGTTCTACAGGATCAGGTGAGTTGGACAACTTGAAGATCCCACGAAAAATGTAACCTGAAAAAAATGATTACGTGAGAAGAAAGAGGTTCCTTTTATATCTCATATATGTAAGTGTTCATTAATTGATTGATCATTTCTCAATCTTTTTTTTCTTTGCTATCATAATTATAATTTCAGTTTCATTTCAGACTAATTCAAGGTTATTTCTCTCCATGGTCGCCAATGAACTGTGCTCAGATATGTGTCTAATTTTGGATAATGGTGATATACTACCAGCTCATAAATTCATTTTTGCTGCTTGGAGTTTAAATGTGAATTACTCACAGGTATGAATTGTGTTTTGATGTTACATTATTCTTATTGTTATATTTCTACGTGGATGGTAGATTTTTGTTTATTGGTAGGGTAGTTCAGTGTAGATTTCGTCACAAACTGACATCAGTTATAGAGGGATCACTGAAACCGGGAAGAGCACAATGAACAGCTGTCTGTCCTGCACACTAGTTCGTCCACACCTATGACCTCATGAGCAGTTGAATCCCGAAACCTTTGGATTACGAGACAATGCCTACTGGGGTGGGATTCAATGTTCTGTGTAATCTAACTTTGGTTTGAGGATTTCATCACTAGCTGATATCAGTTAGAGAACCATTCGAAAACCACTAGGGAGTACTGGACATCTGTTTCGTCCTAGTTTTAGATTTTTAGATTTACAGCTTTATTCCACACTGTATTTTTGGTACAAGTATGGAATTTTCAGCATGGATATCGGTAGCCCAAATTTCGCAGGCCGACCATAGATATCAGGTGTGCGTCGGCGTGGGCTCGAACCCCGGACCATGTGCATGGTCGGCGAGAGTCCTAACCACTGTGCCACCAACGCACAAGACCCTTCATCAGTACGCAGCCGCTGCTGTTCGAAACTAGGTTCTTCTGGTTACAAGGCGAATTCGTAGACCATTAAGCCACTGGGACCCGCCAATCCAATGGCCAGTCCATGAATTCTAACTTCTGCCAATTCATGACATTGCGTGTCCACTTCACAATGTATTCTTCGATGAATTACTGCTCACCTTCAACCTGCTATACCCTGCTGGTCACGATGCTATGTTAAGATTTAGCAGAAGTTAGAATTTATAGGTCATTGGGACATAAAAAATAAATTGCTACTGCAGCAACGACAGAAAACAAGGGCCGGGCTACAGGCCGTTTATTGAGAAAATAAAGAGATATTTATAGATTTTCGTGTACATTATTATTCGTTATCTTAGCAGAGAAGCAACGTCTTTTGATTGGTTGCTTTCTTGCTGAAGGTTATTCTGTATTGCTTGTGACCGTTTCTTGTAAAGTTAAGCCGTATATCTGCGAATCGTATTTGCACACGTTATGTCTGCTGTTTGTGGTTGGTGAGTTCCTCAAGGTTAGGCTTTGTGTTTGTTTTTCCTAATGACCCCGATTCGGGACGTAACACTGACGTAAATTGTTGTCTACTGATTTTGGCTTGCAGACAGCTCTCATCACACTTTGTTTACCGTAGACTGAATTCTATCAGTCAGGTTTGCAATTTGTCCACCGTGCTAGGTGGTACGCCATCACAAGACACTCAGGATTGTTGTTATTCGATGGCTGGAGGAAAACGTCTGGAAGCCTTCGATCTAGGCGCCAAGAGTTCCAACAAGCACGAAACCAAGGTCCAAGACTTCCTGTGGCCGATTGCCTCCAACCATCAAATAACAACAATCCTGAGTGCACCGTGACGGTGAGCTACTTTGTGGCATGTTTCCACATTGAAAACTTAACTGATGATAGAATTCAGTCTACAGGAAACAAAAAACTAAACACATGACACTGGTTAGTGTCGAATGAAAAGTATAGTCCTACAGAAGGTCATTTGCGAGACCGGATGCATCAGTGGTAACGTCTCTGACTGCAACACTGGATGATGCGCGTCCGAATCTTAGAAGCAGCATGAGTTCTTTCAATGTCGTAGATGCACCTTGCTGACGAGTACCAACTGGCACGAAATCTAGGTCAGGTTGGGCTTCCTGCCGATTGCTTTCAACCATCTAATAGTCATTAGTATATATGCATGACGTGACATCTCATAGTTGCTTTTTCTTTATTTTGTTTTCTTTCATCCCCTTCGATTTAGTCGGATATTTTACAAATTCATAATGTTACAAAAAGCGAACTTATCGATCTACTCAACATATTATACAGTGGTGATCAGTCTAATCTCAATGTAGAATACTTTAGCCAAGCTTCAGAAGGAATTAAAACTATTCTCACAAAGTATGTCTTATGTATGTCTGTGTGTGTAATTTTATCCTTATGTATCAACGTGAAGGTGAAGTAGCTAGCAGAACCTTCCCCGTTGAGCTGATATAAGATTAAGTTGGATATTTCTCGTCTAAACAAAACTTGGGATCAATCGATTGTCTTTGATTGTTTCTTTGAACCAGCCACGTAGAGAGGTGTAGACAGCCTTCCTGGTTGGGGTCCTCGGGACGGTAAAAACCAATGAGGTCTGGAGACAATCGGTGATGTGACTCAAAATCGCTCTCAATATAGCAGATACTCCTTGTGACTTATAATATCCAATGAAACTATATTGTTCTTCGATATTACTGTTCTTTCTGCCTCATATCTCTGTTAACTGTCTCTAATTTGCATTTCTTCTCTTGCTTTGTGTGCTACAAGGAGGGAATGTGGCGACTTGAACTGCTGCACATCGGTGCCAATTTCTATGTCGAAAACAGACAGACAAAATATTCAGACATACTGAAGGCATCTATATAAGTAGCAAGCTAACATGTCAGCAGAGGCCCAGGGAGTTGTAGTCCAACCAAATCAACGGGGAAATCGGAACACAATAAAAACCAAATGATGATACCCACTGACTCCCCTCTAATCTGTTCTTCAACATCTTTTCAATTTATTGTTTAAATTTATACTACTTAATACTATTCAGTAGTTTCTATGTAACCGAAGCAATTAATTTCCTCTGTTGAAACCCAATAGTGAGTCATTCAGTTCAAACTCTCAAGTGGAACCCGAATGAGAAGCGAGAGACTATTGAAATATTAGAGTGTGACTTAGAGGGGAGATAGTACGAGAACAAAAAAAGTCAGTTTATGGGCAATGGTCGCTCTTCAGCTACACCGAAGACTGCAAAGACCAGAGTGAAGTGGAGATATGCTGTTGATGCCCCAAGTTCCTCTCTATACTGAAAGAAATATTAACAATTAAATTAATGGATGTGGGTATAGATTGGACATAACGCTAAGGTGAATGTCGACGAGGGACGACGAACCACGGTCTTCGACTTAAAAAGATCGTGAATGATCAGATAAAGAGAATAAACAATGCTCCGCAAAGATTCGAAACATAAATAAAGCATGTACAGCAGAAAAATTACTACTACGGAACAAAGGGAATGTTTAAACCTCCCATGAGATAAATTCCAATATTAAATAATATTTATGATTACGAATTACAGACATAGGAAAACGAAACGCAATGATATACTACTTACTAGTAAAAAGTAGTATAAAGTTATACACAAAGGTAGTAGTAACAACAGAAGACAAGGGCCAGACAACAGATCGTTTATTAAGGAAAGCTCTCACCACACTGGTTGCCGCGTCAAAGACTTGCGACTGAAGTTGGTTTGTTCTTCTTGGTCCTAGGGGCTATGTTCGTTTGTCTGGTTGTCTGGAATCTTGGCCCTCGCTGATGTTCACCTCTTTCTCTTTGTTTACCATTGTGATTGTGTCTGCGTAACCCCATCTTAACGTGACTATATGTGGTTCTTCTCACTTTGGAAACTGTTTGCCTGACCCTTTCGCACATTCGTTTCTATTACGCCTCACACTTTCATATGCTGCTTTCTCCCGACCTCCCAGCAGCGTCCCAAGTAACAGCCCCATCCCTGACAGATCTTGAACGCCACTCAATTGCGCAGATGCCTTGAAGTCCTGTCTGAAGATCCATATATCTCCATCAAAAACTGCAGGCATAGGCTTTCCATTTATTGGTAGGCAGCGACAACAAATGTAACAACAGAAGACAAGGGCCAGGCAACAGATCGTTTATTATGGAAATTAACACATTTTTATTTATTTTCATGTACATTATTATAGATTATTGTAAGCAAAGAAACACAGTCTTCTGATTAGTGGTTTCTCGCTGAACGTTGATCTTTCACCTCTTTGTGGCTGTTTCTTGAAGTTCAGACTATCTATCTGCAAATCGTATCCGCCTACGCAAAGACTGCTTTGATTGAAGGTTGAAACTGTCTTCGTTCTTATTTTTCTCATGACCAATATTGGGGACGTAAACATTGACGTAAATTACTGTCTACCAACTTTGGCTAGCATACAGTTCTCACCACACAACGGATAGATGAGAAGAGAATTAACATTCATAATGTTTTAAAAGTTACAGTGGCGATTCCACACCAAAATATCTCAGCTGAATTGCTTGCGGTTGGTACAATCAGGCTAAATCTCAACGATACTTTTCTTAACCGAGGTGAAATTTTGTCGTTAGCCACAAGTATATTAGAGCTTATACGGTGAAATGGTCGATAGACTCAATCAACTTCATTCACTTCTTACTGAAAGACAGTGTATAACAGATGCCCACCATTCTTGAAACAACAAAGTAGTAGCCAACAAACAAGTCAGGAGTCGAGATATACAGCTTTGAAAAAAAAGAACTGTCATAAAGGAAGTTGGAAATCCCCAACACACACCACCACAACCAGTTAGCCAGCCAGTCAACACCTCTCCGCGTGGCTGTCTGGCTGGCTTCAACTAACTGTTGTGGATTTTATTGACTAGTGAAGCGATGTTTTGGTGGTTTGAGCTAACACACTAACTCTTTCTTTTCCAACCTGATGCATCCTATGTCAGTCAGCTAAGATTGCCTGTTGTCGAAGAAGGCGATGACTAGGCTAGGTGCATACGTAACACATGTCGTAACCATCTCAATCGATGTAGCTACTTCACAACCACATCGATAGATTTCCCCTCCCTCCCACCTAGCACTCCATACCTAACCAATTAACACGGGAGATAGAGCGCAGACACTTATGATCTGTCTGTTTTCGACATAGAACTTTCCACATATGTGCACCAGTTCGATTCGCCACACTCCCTCCCTCCTTGTAGCACACAAACCAAGAGAAGAAAGTAGAAGAAATGCATAACAGAGACAGTAAACAGAGGTGTGAGACAAAGGAATAGTAATGACGAAGAACAATACAGTTTCATTGGATATTATAAGTCGCAAGGAGTGTATGCATCTGCGCTGTCATTGACAACGATCACATTGAGCCATATCACCAATTGTTTCCAACCATTGGTTTTTACGGTCCTGTGGACCCCAACCAGTCCGGAAGTCTACATCTTTCTACGTGACATAAACTAACTGTTGTGGATTTGATTGACTGGTTTCGTGTTTTGGTTTGACCGCCGCTAGCTCTTTTCCGTCCTGACCCTATGTCAGCTAACATTCCCTGTTGTTGAGGAAGGCGATGACTAGGCAAACGTAGCACATATCCTAACCATCTCAGTCGATGTAATTTCACAGCCTCGTCGATTGATTTCCCCTCTCACCTACCTAGCACTTGACTGAAGCCTAACCTCAATATTGCTCACCTTATTGTACCACCCGCTTGGTGACATTATGCGTCAGGCCCTCGAGTGGAACCCGAAAGGGAAGCGGCGTGTGGGACGTCCAAGGGTGACATGGAGGAGATCGTGTGAAGAGGAGTTGAAAGAATATGGAGTAACATGGATGCAGGCGAAAAGTACAGCAGAAGACAGAAGCAAATGGAGACGTGCAGTTGAAGCCCTATGTTCCACTAGGAACCCATGGGAGCAATAATAATAATTGTACCAGTTCACACGGGAGATAAAGCGCAGGCACTTATGATCAAAGACAGCTAATCTTTTCATGTTTTCCACTCTCAATTGCCAGGTCTCACAGCCATAAAAAAGAACGGAGCGGACTGCTGAGTAGTACACACCACACGTCCTTTGATCGACAGTCAGCCGGATACCACGTCTACTAAGCCAGAGACGGCGTAAACTGGCATATGCGAAACGAGCCTTCTGTGTATCCGTGCTGAGATTTCGTCAGCAATCAACCGGCTAGCACTGGCTGATGTAACTTCCTATATAAGTCAAGTAAGTGGTCAACACACTGTACCAACCACTTCACTCCCTATTTCTTCTAAGCTACTAGTGAGTCAATGTAGTCCTATCCAGTCCAGTAGCATCATCTTACATTTGTTTTCCTATTGATCGCTTTCACCGAAATGTTCTGTTGATCATCTCAGCTTACTGTTGTTACAAACATTTCGATAATGTCTACGGGTTAACTTGAAGTAATTCACTGGATTCCACCGCTAGTCCACTATCCACCAAATATCATTTCTTAAGAAAATTTACACTAAATCATATTAGTAATAATAATGTGTGGGGTGATTATTTGTACATTTTCCAAATTAAAAGATCTTACAAGTAAAAGTATACTTTAATATTGTATTTCTCTTTATTTCTTCAAGTTGGGGTCTTATACGTCTGATGGATATCAAAAAGACTGAAGATTTTTGCCCACCATATTCTCCAAGTGTATCAGTCGAGTACAAAGTGGAAGATGATACTACAAGCATCTATAATTCTCATCACCACCTATCACTTGGTAAATCAGTACCCTCTCCAACGTCGACATCTCCGAGGTTATCTATTTCACCAACTGTTATACAAACAACAAATAATTCATACAATACTGTGAAGAATCCTCTCCACTCTCCGCCTGCCAACAACCAGTTGAATCAAGAGATTCCGTCTACTGTGATAAGAAACAGCTCTTCACCAACTAATTTTATCAGTTCCACTTCAATTAATCATGAGGCTAGTGAAGAAGAGAAGTTTCAATCACCTGTATTACTGCCTACAATAGTATCTACAATGAAGACTCCTGCATTATCTGCTCAACAAGAAAATCTACACTCTTCTAAAGATCCAGCTCAATTCAGTCGTGATTTATTCTTTTCATCAGATGATGATGGAGAAAACAGCGACAGTGATATTCCTGATAATGGGAGGTGTGGTGAGATGAACAGAGTGGATGACAATGATACTAACAGTATAGATGTTGAAGAACATCATCGTTATATTCAGCATGAAATACCGAAATCTCCTGAGGAGGAGGAAGAGGAAGAGAAGGTGAAGGATGTGGATGATAATAGTAATCAAAATGAAAATATTCAATCTCCTACAGATATGGTTATTGATCTCATACAGGTAAATTGATTCTGGTTCAATCAGTTGTAATATTTGTCTGAACTAAGAATATTCAATTCAATAATTTCTCCTTTTCAGTTTCTTATAATTATAAAATGTAATATTTATAGTTACAAGTGTAGCTAGTTGTGCGGTGGATATATTTTAACGTTGAATAACAGGGATTGACTTGCTACCAGGGTATAATCTCGCTGACTTAGAATATGCAGACGATATAGTTCTTCTAGGCGAAAACGCTGACAAAATCCAGCAGAGTCTTCTGAACACCTTGAGCTGCAATCTACGAATGTTTGGCATGCGATTCGCTCGTGCTGTCAAATGTAAGATGATAATACAGGATTGGATTGGACTACATTGACTCACTCTTAGATTAGAAATAGGGCGTGAAGTGGTAGAGCACGTTGACCGCTTCACTTATTTGGGAAGTACCATCAGCCAATGCCAACGGGTTGATCTCTGACGAAGTCTCATCACGGATACAGAAAGCTAGTTTCGCATATGCCAGTTTACGCCGCCTCTGGCTTAGTAGACGTGATATCTGGCTGGCTATCGACCAAAGGACGTGTGGTGTGTACTGCTCGGCAGTTGGCTCCGTCCTCCCTTATGGCTGTGAGCGAGACCTGGCCATTGAGAGTGGAGGACATGGAAAGATTAGCTGTCTTTGACCATAGGTGCCTGCGTTCTATCTCCCGTGTGAAGTGGTATAATAAGGTGAGCAATGTTGAGTTTAGGCTTCGGTCGAGTGCCAGGTGAGAGGGAGAGGAAATCAACCGATAAGGCTGTGAAATTACATCGACTGAGGTGGTTAGGACATGTGTTACGTAATCCCGTCTAACCATTGTCTTCCTCGGTGGGGAATATTAGCCGATATAGGGACAAACCAAAACATGGCACCAGTCAATCAAATCCACAAGTTAGTTTAAGCCAGTCACGTAGGAAAGTGTAGACTTCCTGACTGGTTGGGGTCCTCGGGATGGTAAATACCAATGACCGCTGGAGACAATTGGTGATATGGCTCAATGTGATCGTTTTCAATGACAGCGCAGATGCATCCACTCCTTGCGACTTATAATATCCAATAAAACTATATTGTTCTTCGTCATTACTATTCCTTTTGTCTCACACCTCTGTTTACTGTCTCTGTTATGCATTTCTTCTACTTTCTTCTCTTGGTTTGTGTGCTACAAGGAGGGAGGGAGTGTGGCGAATCGAACTGGTGCACATATGTGGAAAGTTCTATGTCGAAAACAGACAGACAGGGAGGTAGTTATTGATTGGTGAAAAAATAATCAATAGTTGCATTTGTATGACAAGTGTTCTAGGCTGATGAAAGCAATTCATTGACTGACTGACTGTTTGCAACATAGAACTTTGCACAGATGTGCGGCAGTTCGAGTTACCACACTCCATCCATGTACCATACAAAGCAAAAGAAGACTGGGAGCAAAGATAGATTGAAAAGAGACAGAGATAACAAACATAAATGTGAGTTAAGCGAAAGGATAGTTATATGAAATAATAATACAGTTTCACTGTATATGACAAATCACAAAGAGTGAATGAATTCATCTGCGCCAGACATTAATAACGAAGATTTAGAGCCATATCAGCATCCATAGTATCTAGCCTTAATTGGTTCTTACCATCCTGAGAACCCCAACCAGGAAGCCAGCCAGTTTACACCTCCCTACGTAGCTGGCTGGCTGGCAGGCAGGCTTAAACTGACTGTTGTGGATTGCATTGACTGATTGATGAAGCCATGTTTTCGTTTCACCAAGACTAGCTCTCTCTTTTTTACCCCGATCAATCCTATGTCAGTTAGCTAACATTGCCTGTTCTCGAGGAAGGCATTGGATGGCTAGGGTTGCATACGTCACACATATCCTAACCTTCTCAATCGATGCAGCTGCTTCACAACCTCGTCGATTGATTTCTCCCCCCCCCCACACACACACACGCACACCTACTTAGCACTTTACCGATACCTCACGTCAATATTGCTCACTCCTATCCTACCACTTAACATGGGAGATAGAAGTTCAGTTTACAGTTTGTGAATATTGTCAATTTCTTAGTCAAATAACGTATTGTTTGTTGTAGTGATGTAAGTGAATTGTAGCCTGTCTTATAATCTTTATTTTTAATCTCCAATATCCCTTCCCCTTCCATTTATCTATCTGATCTTGACCTGAAAAACCTGTCGTTTTGTATGATTGATTCACCAGTGAAGTTTATTTTTATTTGTAAAAAATTATATTTGTAAAATCTCAGCGATATTGAAATGAGTAATTCCAACGTTTCCTGAGTTCGGCAATCTGGTCCGAACTTCTTCAGGGAAATTAATCGAAATTAACATAAAAACAGAGGTGCATATATTAAACGGGGACATCTCTTGTCTTTAAAAACTTTGTCCAATCATGAGTCATAAAACAGGCATCAACATGTACAATAAACAAAATTGTACGAGTTGTGACCAAAATTTGATCTACCTTTGTGAAACACTTTAAACACAGTGTGTATGTGTGTGTGTGCGAATAAACAGTTGTAAAACAGTGTCTTAACGTCTCCATAAGTAGTCCAGACAGTCGGGAATTTTGACCAAGTATTATTAATTAATTAGTGATACATATCCATTTTTATTTATTAATCAGGATTTGCCATGCATCAGCCCACAAGATCACACCTTCATGTCTGTTCAAACTGTTAGTATATAGAATTTTATGATGATTAGACGTATTTTCAAAATTATGGTGTTTAGGATTACGGTTTAGTTGAAGCACCCTGTCAAACTTATTACTTTGTCTTCTTTCAGACCACATTGAGCTGATTTATTTGACCTACTGGAGTTGTCAGGTAACTGGACAGCTACGGATTTAGGATGTGCATTCTGTTGCAGACAACGGAGAGTAGAAACACGATGTGATTGTGCCAATTACATAGTTTCTTTGTTAATTTAATTCGATTGCAAAATAAATCAAATGAACTGTAGTCAAGATTTGATAGAATAGTTCTAAAATATTTGGGCGCCGAGTGAGAAGTAGACATTTGTAAAAATATCGCTAAGATTTTACAAATATAATTTTTTACAAATGTCTACTTCTCACTCGGCGCCCAAATATTTTAGAACTATTCTGTCAAATCTTGACTAAGTTACAGTTCATTTGAAGTTTATTTTCAGTGGAATTCTAATAGTGTAGAGGATATTCAGCAGCTAAGGCATCGTTCTACCTTGACTTACCGAATTCATGAAATCCTATCTACTTTATTAACAATATTTGTTGTTCAGTCGGTGGATGGTGACTAGCAGTGGAATCCAGGATAATGCGCATTTCGTCCTACTTGGCACTCGTCCAACAGCTGGATGTACCTGCATTCCCCAGTGAGTGATGATGTTCCCACTGAGGCTCGAACCCAGTGCCCATAGCTTCCAACGCCAACCCATAGTCCTATAGGCCACGACGGCCACCTCTTGTGCAACAGGTCATATTAATTATTTATTTGAATTTTAGATTTCCCTTCTATTGATTGGACCCGAGTGCTCGGTCTCAGGTGACATGTCGGCTTCTTTTCAGATGCTTCGACGAAGTCTGGACATTTAGTTAGTATTTAATTAGTGGATGGTGACTAGCAGTGGGATCCAGGATGTACCCAAGCTGACGAGTCCCAAATAGGACGAAATGCACATCCTGACTGGATTCCACTGCTAGTCACCATCCACCAATTAAATGTGAATTACATGTCCAGCAGACATCGTCGACGCTTCTGCACAAGAAGCCGACATGTCAACCTTAGACCGAGGGGCACTTCGGGGTTCAATCAACCGATGGGAAAATCTAAAAATTCAATCAAATATTTGTCTTTTGTTTTAAATACACATTTCTTTCGTGTGGATGTTTTTCGTTGAAAAATGTAATTTTCCTGTGCAATATATACTCATTCTTTTTACAAGTTGATCACGGGTTGATATCAATCAGTTAGGGAACCATTGAAAACCAGCCACATGGAGTCCTGGACATCCAGTTGTTTCATCAGCCCAGTTTGGGAATCATCCGTAGTACGCACCCACTTCACAGGGGTTCAAACCCACGTCCCCCCCCCGCGGTTACAAGCAAGGCAAGCTGGCTCGTATACCATCCAGCCACTGGGAGCCGACCGATTCAATGCCCACTTCATGAATTCTAACTTCTACCAATACGTGATGCATTTAACACGGCTGGCACCAATCAATCAGTGGTCATCGGTGGGGGACATCCATCCTCACACTTGACTGGTTCAACCTCACTGGTCATAACTTCTCATCAGGTCCCAGAGGTTGAATGGTATACGAGCTTTTCTTGTGAGTGCGTTCTGCCGATGATTCCCACAAACTAGACTGATGAAACAGCTAGCTAGCTAGCTGTCCAGTACTCCCTATGGCTGGTTTTCAATGTTTCTCTAACTGATATCAATTCGTTGGCGTGGTAAAACTCGTAAAAACAAAACTAATTCTTTTGTTTTTAACTTTCGTTTACCTCATATTTATTTTTAAGCCAGAAACAACAGGCGTTAACTGCTATTCACCTATGCATATCATCAACAATTCATCCATTGGGAATGAATCTTTGAAAAGGAAACAATCTCCACTGAATAGATCGCCTCCTGTTACTATGACAGTAGCAACAACAACTACTACTAATGATAGTAGTACTTCAAGACATGTATTCGATTCATGGTTAGACGATGGAACCACTCCACCGCCATTGATGAAACGTTTACGTTTGTCTAATGATGATAGGATGATTTCAAATACTTCTACTTCTACTACTACTACTACTACTCCTACTACTGATATTACTTCTACGCGTAGTATCGATACTACTGTTGTCAGTAGTACCACAACTTCGAATGTTTCTATGAGAAATTCTCTTCTCACGGATTCAATACTAAGCTATTTTAGCACAGATCTGCCTATTGATAATAATGAATGCAACAGTGGTTCCATTGGCGGAGAAAATCAGACCGCTGCATCCCCTAAAGCTACCTCTGCAATGAATCAGTTCTTCACGCCGGAGAGGAGGAATCTATCAGCGCCTATCCATCATGAGTTGATGAATACACCACCATTTACTCCACTGCCTAAATATGAAGAAATGATGACTCCAGAGTTGAAAGTAAGCTCCTTTATTTTCTGTCTGTATGTATGTTTTCTTTTTCAAATGTTGACATTGCATGCTTCTGAAATCAGACATAATTAGTGTCTGTAAATGTTGTTTGTATTTGACTTACTCTGTTCAGATGGAAAGGTTAGTAGGAACCTCTACAGACGCTCATTCCCTCTCTCTTTCTCTCTGTTGAAACACTACAAGTTGTTGATAATGGCATGAATGCTGACGGAGGTAAGACTGGTGAAATTTCTAATCGTATTAAGGAAACCAGGTATATCTGTCTGTCTGTATGTATGTATGTATGTTTTCAGCATAGAACTTTGCACCGCAGTGCAGCACTTCAAGTCGCCACACTCCCTCCTTGTAGCATACAAACCATGAGAAGAAAGTAGAAAAAATGCATAATAGAGGGACAGTAAACGGAGGTGTGAGACAAAGGAATAGTAATGACGAAGATCAATATAGTCTCATCGGAAATTATAAGTCAGAAGGAGTGTATCTGCGCCATTGAGAACGAGGATTTAGAGCCATATCACTGATTGTCCCCAGCCATTTGTATTTGTCGTTCCGAGGACCCCAACCAGTCAGGAAGTCTACACCTTCCTACGTGGCTAGTTGACTGGCTTAAACTAACTGTTATGGATTTCATGTTTTTGTTTGACTGCCACTAGCTCTCTCCTTTCCAACCTGATCAATCCTATGTCTGTTAGCTAACATTCCCCGCCGAGGAAGGTGATGGCTAACCATCTCACTCCATCGATGTAGTCTCACAGCCTCATCGATTGATTTCCCCTCCCTCTCACCTAGCACTCGACCGAAGCCTAACCTCAATTTTACTCATCCTATTATACCACTTCACATGGGAGATAGAACACAAACACCTATCGTCGAAGACAGCTAATCTTTTCATGTCTTCCACTCTCAATGGCCAGGTCTCACAGTTAGCCACAAAGGAGGAGTGAGCGGCCTGCTGAGCAGTACATACGTCATTTGGTAGACAGTCAGCCGGATACCACGTCTACTTATCCAGAGATGGCGTAAACTGGGATATTCGAAACTAGCCTTTTGTATCCGTGGTGAGATTTCATCAGAGATCAACTCGTTGGGGATGGTCTATACTCAAGGTCTGCATACCCAAATCTGTACAACCCCTGACATTGTCAAGACGTCAGTATGACTACATTCTCCGTAGATTTCTTTACATCTAGTGACTTCACTGTGTAAATAATTTTGAGGACTGACAACATGTCTTTGGACATAGTACAATAGTCGTCTTTCAATAAGTGACGTCATCTTGAGATAGCATCTTCGGTGATATGAAAATATGCCACAGATTTCATTCTAGAGGCTTTCCATACGAATTGTTGTTTGCGCCAGACTTGTGATTGAGTCGAAAAGTGAGGGGTCGGTGTTGTAAGCTGAAGGTTAGTTGAGTTAGGTCAACATTTGTAAGTGCATTATAACTCCTCCCATTGTTGGGTATGAGAGATCATGTGACTCCCTTAGCTTGAGAAACTATCTTTGAGTCTAAATCAAGGGCGAATGTTTTAGATATGCCTCATTTTTTCTTTCTGTGGAAGCAATTATTTCTTATTTGTCAAAATACAATCTTCATACATTATGAACACCAAAAGATGTGCTGAATAAAATCTTATAGGATTTTATCATTAAATGAAATCTGTTAGAGATCTATTGGAAAGCCTTCGAGTTCTGTGCAGATGATTCGTACTAGTTTGCGCCTCTTCAGTAGTACGCACCCACTGAGATTTGAGCCCAGAACCTTCTGGTTACAAGGCTAGTGAGCTCGTAGACCATTCAGCCACTAGGATCCGATTTAATGGTGCATTTCTAGGACGTGTAAGAGAATGCCAAGCTGTATCTTTTTTTATTCCCTTATGTTCCCAGGGGAACAAAGGGCTTCAAGCTACAGGTTTGTAGTTTCGGTAGCAATGGTGTCTATTTTTACGGGATGGGGTAGCTAGTCTCATGTCTAACCTTCCCTCTTTACCAGTCTTATTACTTACTGGCTTAGCGAGGTGAAGGAGTGCGTCAACCGGGGATCGAACCCCGGACCACATTAGGCGTGGTTGGCGAGCATTCTACCGGTGTGTCACTGACACAGGCCATACTGTATAGTTAATTTTTATCACTTAGCTTGTGTTTAGTACAGTCTTCTATTCAAACAACGCTCACCATTTATTTTGGCTAATTTAATTGGTTGGTCAGGGTCACTGGCTTGGTTGTTCTCTTGGTGCAGTATGACTCACCGATTGGCTGACTGATTTCAACATAGAACAACTTTGCACGGATGCGTCACAGTTCGAGTTGCCACACTCACTCCATGTAGCACACAAAATAAGAGAAGACAGTAAAGAAAGACAATAAACAGAAGTGTAAGTGAGGGAAGAAGAACGATAGTATGGAAAAACAGCAGGGTTTTATTGAATACTGGGACGGTATAGTTTAGTCCTACTGCGAATATAAATGGCTAGCCTAGATCACTGTTCGCTCCGCCGCTATCTGAGTTCTTATTCTCAAGTGATTTTACAACACACCCTAACAAAACAACGCTATAATAAGTTACGATGTCGTTTCCACGTAATGACGTTATGAATTGCCAGGGTTTTTTTGTGAGGTCTTTTTTTGGATGGATTCATCAGAGAGTTCTTGCTAGTCTCTGGCATTATATGTTGCTTTGTAAGCGTATCTAGGCTTCAGGCTTGGAAGTTAAATCTATAAGAATTGAAAGTCAATTGGAACGAAGAATATTCTCTTCAATACCATCCTTTTCCAATTCAGGTTCTTACAATTTGAGCTAGTACCCGGACAATTACAATTATAAAACAATTGTAATATTTGTTGTCGTTACAATAATGACAGCCAGTTATGCATGCGGTGGATACATTTTTAACATAGAATAACATTAGTAGTTATGAGGTGTCAAAATAAGTAATCGTATTTGTGTGACAAACTTCATGCTTTGTGCTGACTGAAATCGATTACAAAATATTTCGGTGAAATGGTGGGAGACAATGTCGTGGTGATTAGTCGTCATGATAGATTCGTTCGTAGAGTGTGTGGTCGGCGAAGGTTATAAAAGGTGTCAGGTGAGTGGAGTGGCCATTACAAAGTGGTATGTATTCAAAAGGAGATAGTAAGACTGCAAAGAGACATTCATAATGAAATAACTCATAGGTGAAATGAAACAGGTACTGGCAAATATGTTGTAAAAAGAGATAATAACATAAGTAATAAATTCGAATACTATCAATGAAAGAGAAATTATTGAAAGGAATATTCTTCGTTCAGATTGATTTTTAATTTATGATATGGGAATATTAAATCGAGTTAATAATTCCCACGGAGACATAAAAACAAAGAATTCAGTGAAGAAAATTCTCCTTCCGACGATTTCATTTTCATAGCTGTACAATCGTATATATATATATATATATATATATATATATATAAGCTTTCATTACTCTTAAGTCTGTGTGGAGGTCGACAGCACTCACCATCAAAAATAAGATCCGGATGTTCAACTCCAATGTGAAGTCAGTGCTACTATACGGATGGATCAGAGACTTGGCGCGTCATAAAGAGCACCTCAAACAAATTACAGACCTTCATTAACAGTTGTCTTCACTCAATACTCAAGATCAGATGGCCGGCCAGAAAAGATCACCAACAGGAATCTCTAGCGATGAACGAACCAACACAGCAGGAACCGATTGTGCAACAAATAAGCAGGAAGAAACGGAGATGGATTGGCCATACGCTGAGGAAACCATCAAGTGACATCACTAGACAAGCCATTGCTTGAGTGGAACCCGAATGGGAAGCGGCGAGTTGGTCGTCAGTGCAAGGGTGGTGTGACTTGGAGGAGGTCATATGAAGAGGAGGTGAACGCATTTGGGCAGACCTGCAGCGGGGTGAAAAAGTTGTCAGAAAACCGAAGGCAATGGAGATGTGCAACTGAAGCCCTATGTTCCTCTAGGAATTAAGGAAATATAATAATAATAATATATCAGTTAGAGAACCGTTGAAAACCAGCCACAGGGAGTACTGGACAGCTGTTTCACTCTAGTTTGAGAATTATCGGCACTACGCACTCACCACCAGGGTTCGAACCCAGGACCGTCCGGTTACAAGCAAGGCAAGCTAGCTGGCTCGTATACCATTTGGCCACAGCCACTGGAACCCAACCCGATTCAACAGCCAGTCCATGAATTCTAACTTTTATCAATTCGTGATTTAGCGCGATTGGCACCAACCGATGTCCCCGGTGGGAAATCCATCCTCACACTTGACTGGTTGAACCTCAGTGGTCATATATATATATACTAAAGTGCTGTAATAATATTAGGAGGCACAAATTGATTTGATATATTGAATGAATAACTAAATAAATAAACAGAGGTCAACTTAAAGTTCAATAGGGTGCATGTGTGAAATATATGACAAGGGAAATAAAGTACATTCGGAAATGTGAGCATAATATGATGGAGACATGGATGGATGACTGAAATGTCAAAATAGTAGACACTACATAAAATGATAACAAACTCGAATAAAATAAAACAAAGATGGAATATGGAATTATTAAGGGATAACAAAGTTTTTCTGATGTGAATTACATAGTAAAATCAAGACCACGGTCATGAAAGAGGTCGTACAAATTGTTTTTGTACACAAAGTTCTGGTTTAATGCTATTGTATTGCCAAAGCCTCTACTATATACAAAGAAAATGCACTAGTGTCCCTATATTAAACGATGTATCAGATGCTGTGTCGTGGTCAGTATCTACAGTATTTTGGGGGATATTTACGCCACTACTCTATATCATCGCCCTAATCCTTTGAAGTTCGGTAACATATTGTCCAAACAGTAATTAAAAACGTGATCTGGGTGAAATTTGCTGCTTTGCTGTTGAATGTGGCCTTGATATTTCAACTATGATAACAGGTTCCATTGACCAACGATTAGCATACATTCAAGGTCACTGGAGCGTTCGCACCAACCTGGGACGCTATTGTTGAAATTCACCGCATCTACTTGGTTTCTCATAAGCAAAGCCTCCATTAGAATGACATTAGAGAAAAAAGCGCCAATGCCCCCAGGGAGGATCGAACTCCCGACCCCTGGTTTACGAGACCAGTGCTCTATCCACTGAGCTATGGAGGCACGCGGAGGACGAAAAATTTTTTATGTCAATCTGATTTCCGTCTTTTTAAAGTTTTTTTTTATGCATATGAATTTTACAAGGTATTATATATCTCTATTATGCTGCAAAAATCGATCTCATTCTCTCACAGGAGTGTCTGTAGACATGTCAAACCTATTTCGGTATAAAAATTCATTTCATTGGCTGTATATCATATCATTTCGGGACCTATTTACCATTCTTATGCAGCCAGCTGAGAGCGTACGGCGAGTTGTCATCTGAACTGGTGACAGCTAGTGATGTCCGACACGGATACCCACTATCCCCATTTCTATTCGATTTCATCATAGATGTACTAATGGATTTAACTCTAACTCACTTCAGAGACTCAGGGATTGACTTGTTACCATCACGAAATAATTTTGCTGACTTATAATATTCAGATGATATTGTGTTTCTAGACACCAACAAGATAGAGCAGAGTCTTCTGGATGACTTGAGCTGAGCAGCAATGTTTGGCATGCGATTCGCTTCTGCCAATGATGTTATAGGACTGGACTGTACTGTACTGACTCCTAGCTTAGAGATAGAGAGTGAAGTGTTTGGTGGAGTGTGTTAACCACTTCACTTATTCGGGGAAATTGCATCAGCCAGCCCCAACAGGTTGATCGCTAACGAAATCTCAGCACGGATATAGAGGGCTCGTTTCCCCTATGGCAGTTTAAGCCGTCTCCCACGTGTCTTCGTTCTATCTCCCGTGTTAAGTCGTATAATAGGGGTGAGCAATATTGAGTTGAGGCTTCGGTCGAGTCTCAGGTAAAGTAAAGAGGGGGAACCAATCGACGAGGTTGTGAAGCAGGTGTATATGCAGAAGAAAATGGAGATAAATTGGTGGACATAAGTTGGGAAGAGACCGTCGAATGGAACTCGAATGGGAAGTGATGAATGGGAACATGGATGACGTGACATGAAAGAGATCGTGCGAAGAGGTGACAAAAGCTTATGGAACCGACTAAAAAGGTTGACTGCAGAGAACAGAGTGAAGTGGAGATTTACTGTGTTGAAGCCTCGATGTTCCACCAGGAACATTAGGGAATACTAATAATTGTTATCACTAAATAACTGACGACTGACTGACTGTTAAATCTTGCTGATGAATTTCTTTTTAAATAGATTACCGTCATCATTTTGTAAATGTTGTTTATGTGATGTGAATGAACTAACTGGTGTTGTTTTGTCTCTTTTTTTCACCACACCCACCTCCTTATCCATATCCAGCGTGCTTTGTCTAAATACGGTGTTAAACCACTACCACGGAAACGTGCTGTTCTACTTTTAAAAGAGATATACAATCAACTGCATCAATGTAAGTCATATAACCATCGTATTCTCATTCATTCATTCATTCTTTCTTTCTTTGCATTTGACCAGAGATATTGGTTACATTTTGATTGGACACTAGTAACCAGTGTGACGTGTCTAGTCCCCTTTATTTGGTGAAGACTAAATTCTATCAGCCACAGTCAGGTTTGCAATGTGGCCACTATGCAACTAGATTAGGTAGCTCGGCGTCATGATGCACATTGATTTGATGATCTTAGATATTTGGAGGCAATCGGCCACAGGAAGCATTGCTTGACCTAGATTTCGTGCTAGTTGGCACACACCGGTCAGCAAGGCGTATCTGCAGTCACCTTGAAGGAAGTTATGTCCCATCAACTGAGTTTCGAACGCGCGTCACCCAGTGCCACCTGCAGTTAAAAAAAACGCTACCACTGAACTATTCGGGTTCACGATTGACCTCCTGTAGGACTTGATTAGTAACATCTCTGACTGCAGCATTGGGTGATGTGGGTTCGAATCTCAGAAGGGACATAAGTTCCTGCAAGGTAGTTGCAGATACGCCTTACTGACTGACTACTGGTGAGTGAGTGCCAACTAGCACGAAATCTAGGTCGTCGAGCAAGGCTTCCTGTGACCGATTGCCTCCAACCAACCTAATATTGGTTGCAGCATGCCGGCATACCAAATATCCGGATATGATTGACTGAATTTTTAACGTAAAGTGATAATGATGAAATTACTGTTTAATAATAATGAATTTTTTTATGCTTCAATTGTACTGCCATATAAAAGGAGAGACATCAGTATGGAATTTTCAGCATGGATATCGGTAGCCCAAATTTTGCAGGCCGACCATAGATATCAGGTGTGCGTTGGTGCGGGCTCGGACCCCGGACCATGTGCATGGTCGGCGAGAATCCTAACCACTGTGCCACCGATATCAGAAGAAGTCTTACATAAGATATGTAATGAGGCTTGAATTACAGTGGCGTTCGAACTAGTCAAATCACTCATTCAAAGACAAACTCCTATCGGCCTAACAATCTGTTACATCCAATTGGGAAATATTATATAATTCAGCGAAGATATTCATTCAGACATTTATAAAAGACCAAAATAATTGAGCCAGCAAAGAATATCCTTTTCGATAATTTCCTCTTCTGGCTCTACAATTATTTATACATATATGTTTATATACATAGAATATTCTAGAATAGTAGTTATTAACAATATCAGTATTTTTTCTTAAATAGTATCGATTTATAAAGTAAGATCACAGTGGAATTACAGTTCATTAAAGATGCTCAAACCATAATAATAATAATTAAAATGTAATAGCAAATAGAATATCAACTAAAATTATGAAAATTCCACAAAATTTGAGGATCATTCAAACCTGAATGGCCAAGTTAAGGACAATGTCTGAACTAACTTCTTCTTCTTTTACATACATAAATTAGGCTTCTTAATATGGATCCCAGCAGCCAGTCTCAGCAATATTTAGTAAGCGAACTTGTCAGCCACGTCTCGTAAACTGTTAATGCCCAGCTCTTGCTACACTGCGATTCACGCTGTTCCTCGAAGCTTCTCAGAAACGCTTAGTACGAACGGATGCAAAAACCAGAACCCAGTTTGGCGACTCGAGAATTATTTATTCTAACACCGAACATATAGCGAATGTACAACTAAGCTTTACAACTAAGGTCTATGAACAAATATTACAATAATAAATCACAATATTACTTCTGACGGTTATCTCCTGACTTCTTTCTGAACAGCGACCGATGAGACAATGACTGGTGTATTGATGCCTCCACGAAAATTGGGGAAGTTGATTTTGAGCTAACAACCATGAATTGATCGTTCAATCTTCAACTACATTGACAGAACTCTTAAGGTGAAGTGGAGATTTGTTCGTATGCGCAGTAGATGACTTTGAAAGCTGCCTTGTTGACATTAATCTTGTGTTCTGTCTATATCCACAAGATGAGTGACATAGAATAGCGCTCCGTCAATAGATTTTGTTTGTCCTTTACTTCACCAACCATTATGCAGGGTGATGTTTGGAAATTCGACGAGAAACACGCTTAATTGTACGGCCTATGCAACTAACTGGCTCACTCCATAAGAGCAGTTACATTTTTACCAGATACCATGGGACATAGAAATTTAGCCGGATCTAGATAGATGGTGGATCGACACTGCTAAGTTGAATAACCTTCATTACAATGCATTCACTTATATGGAATCAGACATTACCGTGTTAAAGAGTGAAAGCATAAAAAAAAGTAGTACTGTCGTCAAGTGGAGAGATAGACTGACATTAAAGAAAACAAAACACGCGTAGTTAAGCGAAGAAGCTCTCTTCGCCGGCAAATTTATTTCCCTCTCTAACTGTACAATCGTATTTGTATCCAATCTATTTTTCATGAAAGAGGACAGTGACAAAAGTGATGAGGTGTCTCTGTCACAAACATACTTGTTAATATTATTAGTCAATGCATAAGAGGAATTGAGTAAATGTATTTATTATGGCTACGTAATAAGAGGAATACTGAAGCAGGACAGGTGAGTAGCAGGTAAAAGAGACCGTAGAACATTATATCAGTGTTATGTACTCGTCGCCAAATTATTGTTATGTACTGGTCGAGAATTTAATAGTCCTGACGCAAGAAGGCGGAAATCAGAAGACCACTAGGTTTGCGATGATACTTCTATTTTCCAAACACAAGGAGAAGCAATAAGTGGTATCACACCAAAAGTAGAGTCACACAAGATTGTGAGAGCGAAATATATATGAATGTCCAGACAAGTGTGTGAACAAATCAATGGACAGTCTTAACATGAATGGCTAATTATAATGGAGTATCGATCCATATATACATAGCAAAATATAGCAGACATGTCAACAACCACCATATATGGATATATGTCACCAAGCAACGGACTGTCAACAAACACTCATATTATATATAATATAAGGGGAATATACATCGTTAAAGGAGACAGGTTCATCAAAGTGAAATGGTCACAGACTAAGCGAGCAACAGAAAGAGAGATCACCATATATATATATATATATATATATATATATATATATATATATATATATATATATATATATCAATCAGATAACCAGGTCTCTCTCTCTCTATCTGGGAAGAGATCAACGCAGATGATGAAACTAATAAAAGATGGAGGGAGTGTGACAACTCGATCTGGTGCACATCTGTGCAAAGTTCTATGTTGAAACCAGTCAGTTATTGGATAGATGTAAAATCGCAAAATCACAATTGCAAGCAAGTTATCAAGTCGTTTGTATACATTGATGGGTTTATGAGCAACAATAAACTGTGCTAAAAAAGTCATCCACATATCAGTACTGCATCACACTATGTGATATATATATATACGTCTCTGTCTGTCTGTTTTCAACATAGAACTTTGCAACGATGTGCAGCAGTTCAAGTCGTCACACTCCATGTAGCACACAAAGCAAGAGAAGAAATGCAAAATAGAGACAGTAGACAGGGATATAAGACAAAAGGAATAGTAATAACGACGACCCGGCCGAGAACTGCTCCCTTGTCGTGGTGGTCGGGCTTGAATACCGTAATGTGACCCAACATGCTAAACTGACTGGGACTCTGTCCCTGCAGGTCCTACCATGTCAGAAAGGTTGTTTGGATAGCGATTAAACTAAAAGCAGTTACCATGGAGTACACAGGCTCCAGTATCCAATCGGATCAAATGGCGTATGAACCCATATGGGTCACCGGAAAACCATGGGAATGCAGCTCCTGACGCTGCTCCGCTGCCTTGCGGATTAGACTCCGAGTCAAAGGCACGGGGGGTGGTTCCTTAATAAAACCACCTGCTTCGGTCTGGGCACCCGGGCAGTATCTCAACCATCACACAACTTATTTGGCGCATCTTTCTTGGTGCCATATTGTACCAAGTTTTTTCTGCGTTTAGATAAATAAATAAATTGGTGGTCTGTGACGGTAGTGCCAATAAGTCCTAGATCAAATCACTGCTTCGGTCTGGGCGCCCGGGCAGTATCTCAGCACTCACACAATGAACTGAATAAAGCAACAAACAATCAATGAAACTTATCGTGTGCTATTACACGTGTTGCAATTTCCTTCTTTCTTCCCTTCCTGATGATAGTTGGCGAATACGGTTTGAACTTGTTAAGCATGACTGTTTTCTTTCCAGATGAAGTTCTTTATCCGTTCTCTACTTATATATATATATATATATATATATATATATATATTTCTCTTCTTTCTTTTTTTCTTTTGATCTATGTTGTTTTATTATTATTGTGTGGCGCATCCTTCTTGGTACCATATTTTACCAAGTTTTTATGCGTTTAAATAAATAAATAAATAATAACGACGAACAATATAGTTTCATTGGAAATTATAAGTTACAAGGAGTAGCTGCATCTGCGCCAGCCATTGACGACGATCACTTTGACCCATATTACCGATTGTGTCCAGCCATCGGTTTTTACCGTCCCGAGGATCCTAACCAGGAAGTCTACAGCTCCCCACATGACTGGCTGGCAGGCTTAAACTATTTGTTGTGGATTTGATTGACTGATGAAGTCATGTTTTGGTTTGACCACCACTAGATCTCTCATTTCCAACCTAATCCATCCTATGTCAGTCATCCAACATTGCCTGTTGTCGAAGAAGGCGATGGATGGCTACGGGTTGCATACGTAACACATGTCTTAACTATTTCAGTCGATGTAACTTTACAGCCTCGTCTGTTGATTTAACACCCACCCACCCACCCCCACTAGCCTAGCACTCGAGAGACGCCTAACGTGAATATTGCTCACCTTATTTTACCACTTCACACGGGAGATAGAACATAGAAACCTAACTATGATCAAAGACAGCTAAGCTGGTCTTTTCATGTCTTCCACTCTAAATGGCCACGTCTCACTCACAGCCATAAAGGAGGACTCAGCGGACTTCTGAGCAATACACCTGCCCTTCGATCGACAGTCAACCAGATATCACGTCTACGCCAGGGACGGTGTAAACTGGCATATGCGAAACTAGCCCTCTGTATGCATGCTGAGATTTCGTCAGTGATCAACTCGCTGGCGTTGGCTGATGAAACTTCCCAAATAAGTCAAGTAAGTGGTCAACACACTCCACTAACCACTTAACTCCCTATATATATATATATATATATATATTTAAACATGAGGATTTAAGGGATCTCAGCGAATACATAGAGGTCGAATGTATATCTGCGCTATTGAAAACGATTTTCAGTCATATTATGCCATATTTTATCCTACTATTTGTATTTTATTATTATTAGTAGTAGTAGTATTCTGTGCTGGTAAATATTTTTCCCTTTTAATGCAGACGAAGAAACTGACGCGAACCAGAGTGAATCGACACGTAATAATGAAGTTGGAATCGTTTCAAACCATAAAGTTGACAGAGATCCTCCTACCCTCGGAGGAGGCAGCAGTTGTAGTAGTAACAATAGTAGTAATAATAATAATAAACGCAATACTAAGTCAAATAATTCAAAATCAACTAGACATCAAAACGTTTCATCTTCTGTTCGTGGTGATGTTATTTCCTCAGTATCCAATAGTATTAGTACTAATACTAATAGTCATTATTATCAACAGACGACGACGTCGCAGTCCCAGTCATCCACCTCACCGATAATGAGGGCAGAGATAACTACAAGCACTGCAACAGTAAGAACAACAGTAACTACTACTACGACTAATTCTACAACTTTATCCTCTTCCTCAACTCATCTCGACCATCAACACCGCCACCACAGCAATAATAGCAACACAGAGTATTGCTCATATAATGATGAAACTATTGCTGTTCTTCAACAGATGTCTATCTTAGATAATGCTGAAGACGAGGAGAAAGAAGAAGAAGAAGAAGGCGAGATTGAAAACGGTTGTAATAAAAAGCAACAAAGTCATAAGGATAAGGTAAGTTCACTTGGTGTGTGGCTTTTACTCTGTTTTGATTGATTTTTACGCATTGATCAGGGATTGATATTAGGTTATAGAACCATTGAAAACCAGCCACAAGGAGTACTGGACAGCTAGCTAGCTGGCTAGCTATTTCATCAGTCTAGTTTGGGAATCATCGGTAGTACGCACTCGCTTACTCCACGGGGGGGGTTCGAACCCAGGACCTTCCGATTACAAGCAAGGCAAGCTAGTTGGCTCGTATACCATTCAGCCACAGCCACGGGGACCCAACCCAATTCAATAGCCAGCGCATGAGTGTAACTTCTATCAATTCTTCATGTATTTTTAGCGCGATTCGCACCAACCAATGTCGTGATGGTTCTGTAAATGATATCAATTCGTGAACAAGTTATAAAAACAAAGTGAATCCTTACAAACAACCAACTGTAGATTAATTATTTTATTTGAACTTCATGCAATTCTTCCCATTAATAAACTTGAACATAGCAAGAACAACAATTGTATGTACCAGGATAATTAATATGAGCTCATCTTTTATTATTATTATTATTTCGAGGATTCATCTCAACTGGTTACAACCTGAACGATAAAAAATACGTGAATTACATTAGAGATTTGAACATACTGATGATCCACGATCATAAGGAGTAATTGGTAGGAATTAAAAGTAACATTAGTCCGGAATGATTTAACTGATTAGGAGTTACAAACACTGACTATTTATAGAATAATTAGACGATTAGGCTTGGAAACAAAAAACAGGGTTGTATATATATATATGTATAGAAACAAGGTTCAGCTAGAAAGAGCATAACAAAAAAGTAGATTACGTAACTAAAGAAAGCATCTTATCTAATAGCCAACAGAAAAAAGGAAAGAAAAGAAACAAGGTAGGGTGAGTCATGTTTAGATGAGGAAGTAGAGTTTTCGAAACATGAAAAAAGTGACTCATGAAAGTTGTATATTTTTTTGTTATCACCAAGGCAGTGCAAGATTCACTGCTGTCTCTTTCTGCGTACATAGATTTGGTTTAAGTCGTTTGATGGCAATTGCTTCAGCAAAGCGTAGCAAGCTAGGTTTCTTTTGCTTGTTGATTATTTTAAACGACTTCAGGTTGCCTACAATATGACCAGTGTCCAATAGATGACGAACAATCGCACTGTTTAATGCTTGTAGACCTTTCAGTCTCAAGTTCTTTGGTATATGTTCATAGATGCGGACACTAACCCTTCACTCTGTTCTTCCAATGTATGTGCTTTGGTACGTACATGTAAATTGGTAGACACAGTTGGAGGTAACATGAGGTGGGTATTTGTCCACTTTTGATTATCTCACACAACTAGTTGTTTGATAAACACATACAAGCTTGGCGGCTGGATATGTTCTTTTCAGGGCAGCGTTCAGTCTGCATCTTATTCTTTGAATGCAAGCTGTAGAAAGATGGGCTTTTTATCTACTGTGCTGCTTTTCACTTTTTCAACATGACGTCTCCCATACTTGTCGATGAACTTTTGTGTGTAACCGTTGTTGCGTAGTCATTTCTTCACAATAGATAGCTCTTCCTCAATCTTTTCTTTTGAACACAGTTTCCTCACACGATCAAATAATATTCTCACCAATCCCTTTTTGTAACTTATAGGGCAGAAGCTTTTGAAGTTAAGACAAACCGCCCTCCAGGTCTCTTTTCTGTGTATATATCTTATGATTTTGGCGTCTTTATCTCGTTGGATACCCAAGTCCAGGAAATGGAACTTCTTCTCCATACTCTATTGTAAACTTAATATTAGGGGGTGGGCGCTGTTCAAGACTTCTAATACTTGAGATGCATCATTGAAAGAATTACAAATTATATTTGAATGGTCTGTCTCTCTCTCTCTCTCTCTCTCTCTCAACTGATGATATTCCTAAATGTGGTGGACTGGATTATGCGGAACACACTACGTGGGGAGCCAGAAAAGAGGAATACACTGAACTGATAAGAAGACTGTAGCTGATCTAGATCTCACCGATGATTTATCACGAAAGACGATTGCAGCGAAGAAAATTTTCTTTTCGACAAAGTCACCGTCAAGTAGACAACTGTACACATTCGTGTATTTATGATAAATGGGTGGGTGGGAAAGTTCCAGAATAATTTCCGGTTGAGGGTCAAATTAATAAAATATTACAACTAGGAATTAAAATGCCATAATAAACACGGGGGTGGGGGACGCATAAAGCTGAAACAAAGTAGCATCATAATTACTAAGAAGATTGACATTGATTGTGCAATTGGGGGTTAGAAATGTAGAAATAGCAAAAATAACATGAATAAACGGGAAGTTTGGATAAGAAAGGCAATCGGATGGTCCCTATTAAAAGAATTACCTGTTTATGATGGTCATGGCAGGGACAAGGGTTGGACGTATTTCTTTTAGACACATAGCGCGGGTCTGAACTTTTGGATAACTAGTGCCTTGGCTATGCCCAGATGTCTTAATTTTGCTCGCTCTTTGATAGGTTTGATCGAATCTTGTATATTATTTTGAAGGATTTTTTGAATGGCGCTAAACGTCCTGAATTGACCAGATGTTCTGTCATTGAACTGTGTACACGTCTTTGATCTCCTTTTACTAGACAGGCTGAATAGTGTTCACGATCGAGTATTTTACAAGTTGGCGCATGGTACTACGGCTGATGTACTCAGCTCCGCAAGAGCAAGTAAACTGGTGCTACTTTGTTTGAGTTTTATCCGTCCCCTACCCCCGTATTTATTATGACATTTTAATTCCTAATTGTAATTTTTATTAATTTGACCCTCAACCGGAAATTATTCTGGAACTTTCCCACCCACCCATTTATCATAAATACACGAATGTACAGCTGTCTAGTTGACGGTGATTCCATATTAGTTTGTTTATTATCATCCCATCCCCCGACCAAAAGCTGCTACCTTGACGTGGTGGTCGGGCTTGAACACCGCAATGACCTAATCAAGCTATACTGGCTGAGACTTATGTCTCTTGAGGTCCTACCATGCCTGAAAGGTTGTTTGGATAGCGGTTAAACAAAAAGCAGCTACCCAATCCAACATCATAATCAATACAAAATCACAAATTATTATCATCCTATCCTATGTCAGTAAAAATAGGATTAGTGAAATGTTCAAGTGACAGAGCACAAAAAGTAAGTAGTTCCAAGGAAAATCTAAGACAGGAAGTGATACACATAAAAGATACTTAGAAACTTAATAATTACCCTGATAAATTAGTCAGGAAATATGTAAGGAAACGTAAAAATAAAATAAATAATGATAGTAGCGATAGTGACAAGAATAATAATGATGATAATAATAATATTAATGACGACACCAACAATAAGGAATCTAAATCATCAGTAGTAATTCCATACAAAGAAGGAACCTCGGAAGCCTTACTCAGAATTATTAACAAGGCAGGAATAAAAGTAGCTAGCATTCAAACCCACAAACCCAATTAGAAACAAGCTTTGTCGGTTAAAGAATCCCACCAGTGGAGCCTTTAAAGCAAAACAATTTAGTTTTTCTAATGCCTTGCCTGCTGGAATGATTGTCAGGTCAAATACATAGGTCAAACTAGTAGAACAGGAGCAGTCAGACTAACTAGCTGAGCATAAAAACCCACCAGCAAAATCTAGATTAGTTGACCCAAATAAGATAAGAAATCTAGAGAATAGTTTAGCCACAGCACTCACTACATGCAATTACACACAACCAACCATACAACAGGCTGGATGGGATAAGAAGACAGTTTTAAAGCCTAATGTAACAACAGAGTGGAGGGAGATATCGATAACAGAAGCTTTGTTTATTGAATTAACTGAGAGGGAACACGAGTATTAGGCATGAGTCAATACCTTTCCATCCAGATATCTGAAACATTCTACAACTTCAACGACGACAAATAAGAGAGGACAAAGAAAACTATAAAACTCAAGTTTCAAAGTCGTGTGATTATAATTGATGATATGATTCTGAACCACAATAAATTTTGTTCGAAACTGTGTCATCCAGTAAATAATACCGTTTCACTCACTGTGTGTGATATATCTAATAAACAAACTAATGTGGAATTACTTAACACCACAGTGCCCAAGTTTTACACATATATTAGTTGAGGGTGACTTCATCGAAAAGAAAATTTTCTTCACTGCAACTGTCTTTTGTAATAATTCCTATGATCCAATGTGTGTATATTCGATAATTTATCACTTATGTCACACAAACCCGAAGATTTATAGGTGAAAACCAATTAAGCTGGCAGAAGTAATGAGAAAGACAGGACTCTAGATGAACATAGAAAAGACGGAGAAAGGTGAAAATACCTATGCACCACCACCACCACCACCCTCTCCAACAACAACCAGCAGCACCACTCACTGTCAATAGAAGACATTTAAAAGGGGGGGGTTGCTTCCTTCCTTCACATATCTAGCTATGTAGCATCGTTTCAACTACAGGCCAGCGGAACGGATGAAGATGTCAAAAACTAGCCAGCCAGAATCGGAATGGCAGGCTACACACCTTCATCAATCTGATATCAGTTTGAAAATCTCCTACACTCAGCAAAGAACAAATTTCGGTCAGAATCTTGAAGTGTCACAAAAAGCATTTCGAATTGGCTATTGCGGACTTTTACCAATATAATTGCATTCGAAGGCTCTATAGTGAAGATCAAAGGGTCAGCCGAAAAGAATTAGCCAGAATTAGCCCTATGGGAACAGACTAGCTAAGGAGAAAATGGAAGATGGATAGAAAAGACATACGTTGAGGAAGCCGTCGAATGACATCGCGCGCAGTGCAGACCTTCGGTGGTTTGCGAAAACGACGATTGGGTCTTCGGTGATAGGGTGACATGGAGGAGATCGTGTGGTGAGAAGGAGGAGTAGGGGGAGATGAGAGATTATGGCGAATCGTGTGCCCAGCTGAAGAGGATGGCAGAATAAAGAACAAAGCGGAGTTATGCTTTTCGAGCCCT